CGTGGAACGCCCCAGTAGCGGATCACCAACGGGCCGCCCCGCCACCCCCGGCAGAGATGCGGGACGGCAAGCCTCACTACGAAGTCGAGGCCATTTCCCTCGTACGCAAGCAAGGTCGACATCGCCTGAGGTACCTAATTCAGTGGAAAGGTTACCCTCGAGAAGAGTGGACGTGGGAACTGCGGGACAAACTGGAAGGCGCAGAAGAGGCACTCGAGGATTTCTATATCGAGGATTTCTATATTCTTAACCCGTTCGCACCCCGCGAAGAACTCATAAACAGCCGATGGAAGATCCGAAAACAAGACCAGGGGACACGGACCCATAGGGCGTCGAGGCGCCGCCCACAACGGAGGGGGTGATGTCACGGTTCGGGTCGGGCCGTCCGGGCCATAAGGCCCGCACGGGCCCGAACGGGCCCGCATGGGCCCGCATACCGCCGCCCCTTCGACAATCCCCCATTCCTTCAACCCCTTCCCTTCACCCCTGCGGCCCTACGCAGCGCCCATCCGATCCACCCTGGGACCTGGCGCCCATCCGATCCATCCCTAATATCGTAGCATATAAAAACCGTACTTACAAGATGTAGTCGCTAGGCTAATATCGTCTATTCTCCGGGCGAATACCCATCTCTCGTGCTCCCAGACCCCTTCGAAGTCGGTTCCCCCGACGCCCCGATACGGCCCGAGCCTGACGTTGACATTGAGTTGGATCCGGCAAACTGAGAGCAAGGGAAGTTGAGTGGCCGGATGTTTTGTGAAGGGAGCGGGAGGCAACTAGATGGCATTGTGATTCCAATGTCGCCTCCAGCAACGAGCTCGCTATCACTGTCGTAAAAAACGCGGACAAGAGTCCAGCATGATGGCGATGACGAGAGCGCGCGTGAAGGATTCGCGGCCCTGCTAACAGCTGGTCGGGCTGCTGGTTTGAGCGCGTTGCTGTTGGCGCCAGCTTGAGCAAACGGAAGGGTGGCCTGACATGTGCTGCTCGTCGATGATGTCGCTGTGGATGGCTACAAGCCGGTATCGTGATGTAATCAACGTGACGTGATGCCTCCGATCGATAGATCCGGTGGTTTGTCATCCCGGACCACTTTGGGCGAAATCGCCGAGTGATTCGGACGAACAATCGACGTGTGTAAAATGCGTAGCCCAGTGTTCACGCCTATGCGCCGATCGGATGTGAAATCGCCCCCGTGGTTGGCAATTTCGTCCTTCCCGGCGATTATCGTCTGGATCACCTGGGGGAAATCGCCGGATAGTAATCGCCGAGCACGGGCGAAATCGCCCATTTGTCTGCCGCGTGCCTTCTCCTGCACGCCAAGCATGGCACCGCCCTGTTTGGACCTTAAACACCATGAATCCCATTGGTCGGCGACTTATCATCCGGATCATCACTCGGCGATTTTGCCCGAGAGCTCTAGGCTTGATAAGCGGCCCAAACATCAGCCTTGCTGGACCTAACGCTAAATCGCCGACCGCGGGCGAAATCGCCAACCCGGGCGAAATCAGACGGCGATTTCGCTGGCGATTTACTGTCCGGACCACCCAGCAATTCACCTGACTCTTGCAGTGCTGTCCCTTCATAAGCTGCGCACATGCATGTGCTTCGGGCTGGCTGGAGGGTCTGGCACCTTTGATAGCGCCACAAAGGGTATGCCAAAGCCCGTTGCAGCATATGCTGAAACTTGAAGAGCTTATACCTGGTGCGTTTAGCTATATAGCAGCTTACCAGGTATCCAATAGCACTCCCTTGAGTCCTTCAGGCTCTAGTCATGCACTATTAGGCAGATGATAGATTTCTCTGTACACAGTCTGCAAGAGTACTGCCCCAATAATGAAGAAAAATTGTCTGATCCAGATGAAAAAAAATTATGCAACAATTGAATTGTTTTCCTGTCTTCAAACTCTAGGTCAAAAAATGTATTGGAATATTTAAAATTTTTCAGGCCAAAAAACTCATCAAAAAGTCTGATATTTTCCGTGTCAGAAAACTCATTCTACTATTCAAAGTGGTTTATCATATCTCTCAGGCCTGAAAATCAGTCAATAAACTTAACTTTTTCCAATTGAAAAAACTTGTTCCAATAGTTTACATTTTACAATACATTTTACCCACCCTCAAAACTAGTATGAAGTCTCTATGTTTTTTAATTACTTTGTAGCTAAGAAATATTTTTTAATAATACTTAGCATTTGTAACAGTAAAATAACAATTTGTAAACTTTAGACTGCCCAATAAGTTTTTTTTCCAATTCAAAAACTTTACATTTTTGGTCCAGTTTATATAATCAAAACATTCATTATAAAATTTTGCCTCTTCCCACTAATGTTTCCACCCTCAACATTTTTGAAACGCGGCTGTGCCTTAGAGAACAAGCCAAGGAGCCCTCTAGCCCAGGTGCACTACTATATACTAGTGACCGGAGTAATGATAGAGTGACTGTGTAGCGACGAATGATGGATGAGAGCAGTTAGGTGTTGCTAACAGACCCTAGGTGAGTGTCGAGTAGCCCTCAAAGCTCTGGAGAGCCAGGTTTGGGACTGTGATGCCAAGGGAGGAGCCTAGGCATCTATAGAAGGCCCTGGGAGGGCTTCAGGAGGTCCAGGCTGCCTCTGTGCGTCTCCGATTGTGACCGTGACATGACAACCGGAATCAGAATCAGAATCGATTCCGGGTGTGTGACCGTGACATGACAGCCGGAAACGGAGAGGGAGAGGGCATGGAGTGGAGAGGGAAGGAGTCTGGTCTAGCCCAAGAGCCAGGGAGTGTTTACGAGGACCAATGGAAATGGCAGCCAGCTATGACTACTAGAGGGTAGCGACAGGGGGGTCACTCGGGGACGTCCCTGGATGTCTCCAGAGAGGTGGAGGTGTGAGGCCTGGGGCGCTGTAGTAGGCACGAGCCTTAACAGCAGTAGGCCTTACCCCAAAGGAAGACCTGATGACAGGGGCCATGGTGGTGGAGCGCAGAGCGGAGCCAGGGCAAGGCTCAGCCATCCGAACGTAAGCCCGAATGCTGACATAGGTTGGAGACACCCAAGAGGTCCAATAGGTAGAGATCGCAGGGAGACCTCGATGCTATAAGGCAATAAATAAAAGAGGTTCTCCTTTCTGTCTGAAAACATATTAAAATCAAGCAAGATAGGTCTTATCAATTTTGTTATTATCTTTAATCAATCTACATCAGAATCAAGCCTCAGGGCAACCATGAGGCCAATCTACCAAAGGTGAGTCAGATGCTCTTATGAGCATTAAGCAGTCTGATGCCATGGCACATGCCTGTGGTGGAACTTAGAGTTAGATTAGTACAGTAGCTGGCAGAAATACATAATTACAAAATCTGGGAGTAGGTGGCTAGTATAGTGCTAAGTTTGTGCAATGCTACTTGTTGGCTTACCTTTGATTATTGACAAACTGATTTATCAGTTTTGCCTATAGTCTTACAAGAATTCCCACCTCTGAGAATATCATCAATGGACATAACACCTCCACATCACCCATACTGTATCACATTAATTACAGCCATGTTTCAAGAATGTTCAGGGCAGAAATATTAGTGGGAAGAGGCAAAGTTTTTTAACAAATGTTTTTATCATACAAACTAGACCAAAAAGGTCAAGTTTTCAGAAGAGAAAAATTCATTGGACAATCCAAAATTTACAAATTGGTATTTGAGTGCCACAAATGGCAAGTATTACCACAAATATTCTTTAGTTACAAAGTCATCAAAAACATTGGACTTTTCTACTAGTTTTGAGAAGGAGGGAAAATATATTCTAAAAGGGGAAGTATTATGATAAGTTTTTCTGCTCAAAACTTAAGTGTTTGACTCATTTTTCAATCCAATAAATGACATACAAAGTGTTTTTTGACCCAGACAATGTCAAGTGTTTAAATGAGTTTTCTGAACTGGAAAACTTCAGATATTTCAATCCATTTTTGAACCAGAGGACCATAAGTATTTTGGATTGAATTTGATGAAATAAAAACTTCAAAGTTTCTCAAAGGGTGGGTGATTTCACCCGAGAGGCTAGAGCACCTGACATACCAACAGCGAAAGCTAATGCAGGCCGGCTAGGGCTTGGTTTGTAAAGATTTTAGAGGTTATTAAACGGTTTGATGAAAATAGCCTCTGAAACCCTGTTTATAAACCGATTTTTAGGTTTTATAAACCAACTGAGCCAACATGACAGGAAAGATCAAAATTGCCTTTTTTTGGGAAATTTTTTGCAGCAAATTTTGGTGTTTTAACTTTATGATTTTGAGATTCATAGACAGTAGGGTTGAAATAGCCAGGATATATCAACTATCACTTATAAGTTTACATAACATGGCTAAGTTATATATAGCATGTACAATTTACTTGAAGTTATCTTATCAGCAGATCTTAGATGCCCTGTCATAGATCCTTTATACCCTTGATGACCTTGATAATAATTAAATCTGTATAGTTAGTATAGTATAGTCACACAGCCAAGCTTCTAATACTAGTATTAATCATGATCAATATGCCAATACTGTAGTAATTAGACCACAAGTTCATCAATTTTGAATTTTTTTCATACCTGAGAGGGCTGAAAATTTTTCTTTTGATTTTAGGCGAATTTTAACGCTATGTTTTTTTGGCTTGATTATGCATTACGTAAACTTATGGTCTAATTACTACGGTATCAGCCAAAAGTAGGTTCAGATCCTACTTGATAAGAGACAATATATTATGATAGATCTATAAGATATGATCAAGCCTACTAGCAGTATATGGAAGCAATGATGGTGAAGTAAGTCTAGTTTACTAGCTTCTTTTCCTTTTTGGGTGCTTACTAATATAAACTATAAAACAGGGGTGTTTCCAGCCAGGCTGTTAATAAACATATGAAACAAGTTGAAGTAATTATAACCATTCTTAATCAGTTTGGGCTGCTGGAATCATTTGCACGGCAACTGTGACCACGCTCGTTACGTGCACGTCATCACGTCATCACCCTTCTCTTCCCAAACTCCCACCATCTTTACCTGCCTTATCTGAGCATCCAGATGGCGCCGCAAACCGGCACGGCCGATACTAAGACGGCGAAGGCAGATGTGCAAGAGGCGCTGCGGAAGGTGCAGCGCGAGCGAGATGCGTTTTTTGAGGACATCGAGAGGCTGAGGCGGGAGAAGGTTGCGCTGGAGGGGCGGCTGAGCGAGGCGGAGGGCCGGCTAAGAGAGGCCGGTGAGCGGCGAGTAGGGGATGCGGAGAGTATCAGGCGGCTGGAGCGGGAGTTAGAGGCTGCGCGGGTAGAGGCAAGGACAGCGGGATGGGCAAAGAACGATGCGGAGCGGGAATGGCAGCGGGAAAAGGGGGCGATGGGAGGTGAGATTGAGCAGTTGAAAAGGGACAGCGAGGTGCAGAAGCGCCAGATCGCGGGGCTGAAGAGGAAGTTGAAGGACAAGGTATGTCTGTGTTTCTGGTTTCGTTTCTGTTTGGTGAAGCAGCGGGCAGACAGCGGTGACTCCAATCGTCGTTATAGACGATGGCGACGATGGCATGAGTACCTTGGCATCCAACTTCCGGGTAAAGGAGCAAGACGAGAAGGCTCCGGTGAGCACTTGTTGTCTCCCTCTGAAGTTCAGCTGACTTGAGCAAGGACGACCGAAGCACCTCTGTGGCATCTTCATATGCGACTAGTACACTTGTCGGCCGTTCTTCAGAGGCTTGTTCTTCGTTCCCTTACTGAAGCTCAACTCACTAGGTCCACAGACTCCCACCGGCCCTACAAAACGACCACATAGCCCTGCGCAATCGGATCTCAGCTCTCCTACGAAACGGCTCAAAGGCGCGATATTGACGGACAGGAATGCGCAGAGCCGCTCTCCCGAGCGGCCAGTTATCCCGGTGCGTTACCGCATGCAACTAAACCCAGCCAACCAACCTCATCCACAGCCCCCCTTCTCTTCCGGTGGACGAGCAATGACAGTCTCGCTGTCACCGATAAAAACGGAGGCGAAGCCCGGCCGCGGCTTAAAGGTGCGTCCTGCCCGGCTGCCAGTGTCTTCCGCTCCATCTCCAGCGTCCGCACAGCGTGAAGTCAAGCAAGAGCAACTGGCGCTTCCCGCTGCGCTTCTCGCGACGCACCTCCACTCCGTGCCCCCATTCGCCATCCCGCCGCCGGGGCCCTCCGCCGTCTACGCCTCCCGCCGACAGCACCTCCACCCAGCCTTCAAGGGGCAGCGCCAGGCATTGCTGCCGACCATGTTGTACTGCCCGATACCCGGCGGGCCAGAGGTGAAAGCGAAAGTGCTGTTCCCGCAGCCCGACTTCAACCCGCTCCTTCCGCGCCGGCCTGGAGAGCCCGGGCTGCTCTTCGCCTCGCGGCCCGACGTGGCAAAGCCGGGCACAACCTATAAGCTCTTTTGCCGCCGGACAGCGAATGGACCCGTGGTGTGGCGATATATGGGAGAGTATGTACATAAGCGGGTGGGGGACGTGCCGAAGGAGACGTGGAGAGAGCAGACAGCGAGGGTAAGGTTGGCCGGCCTGAGCAGACGGTGGGCTGATGTGTGCTAGGTCCGGGCAACGTGGGCGAAGCATATCGCGAGTAGCAAGAACGGGGTTTATACTGCGGCGCGGCAACGGCTCCAGGAGGACAGCGATACGGGCAGGCTGACCGGGGGCGATATCGTCACGGCACTATGCAACGGCGGGGCGGTGGGTGGATTCTGTCTGCAACGAGGTTCTCAGGTATACTACTGAAACGTGCACAGACGATTGGCATTGTCCAGATGCGCTGTGTCGGGTACGACGCGGTGTTTGCGCGGCTCGTGGAAGAGGCGGTGGAGGCTGGGGATGCGCAACGGGAAGAGAGAGCTGTGGCGGGCGGACAGCGGAGCAAGCGCGGAACGAGCGGGTCCAGGTCTGGCTCGGACTCAGAGTACACCGAGTCTGACGCTGAATGGGACGGAGACGAGGAGGACGAAAATGGGGCTGGATATGCCCGTGGCTCGAGACGGGCAACGTTCCCACCGGAGTGGGCAGATGGTGAACTTTCGGATCTAACGGAGTCGGAGGAGGAGGGAGAACGGGAACAGGAACTCGCAGGCAATGGGGCGTTGTAGTAGACTAGCAATTGATTGGATTCAAGGTGGAAGTGGATCCAAATGACAAGAGACAACTGAACACATGAAAAAACACTCTTTGGTATCTTCAACTTCGTCAATTGCCGGGTCCTCGCTTTGGCCTAATCGGCTTTTTAATTTTAAGGTTGTCCTATTCTCAGCCCCCGCTGGCCCGCATTCACCATCGAGAGCGATGAACTTTGACTGTGAATATATCGCTGCAGTAGCACCCAAGAAATTCGAGGGAATGGTCAATTAAGTGGTACTACCGTACATGAAACAACTACAACTGCCAGGAATTTTGCCTCGCGAAGTTTCAGTCGGATGTGTAATTACAACTTGAAGCTTTAGTAAGGCAAACTTTTATGAAGAATAGAAAGGAGACACCAACGAACTGCGATTTCTACTGACCTCCGAGTCATCATCATCATGACTCAGAGTAGATATCTGATAGCTCCTCCTCCTCGGAGTCAAAATTACGACGCTTTCGTCCCGGCCCCGACTTCTTTGCGTTCTTCCCCGGCGCACCCTTCCCCTTCCCACTAGTACTGGCCGAGGCGCCGACCGACTCCTCCACTCGCCGCGCGAACGCGTGATCATATCCCACACAACGCATCTGGATGATGCCAATTGTCTGGAGACGCGTCAGCTTGTAATGGACATACAGAAGCAAACGACACACCACATTCTCCCCGCTGCACAATGCGTCCACGATGTCCTTCACAGCCAGCTCGCCCCGACCCTCCTTGCGCTTCCGCGTGCGCAGCTCCTCCCGCATCTCGGCATACACCCCACGCTTAGTCTTGAAGATATGCTTCGCCCATGTCATTTGCACCTGGAGAATTTCAATATAATAATCAAGAACAATATTCGAAAACAAGCTCGCCCCAGTCGTTTGCGCCGTCCAGGTCTCCCCGCTCACGTTTCCCACCCGCGCATGCGCATATTCGCCCATATACAGCCACGTCACGGGCCCCTTCGCCGCCCGCCGGCAGAAGAGCGTATACGTCACGCCCGGCCGCGCGATATCCTCCCGCGACGCGAACATCAGGCCAGGCATGCCGGGTTCGCTCGGCAGCAGCGGGTTGAAGTCCGGCTGCGGGAACGCGGTCGTCAGCTTCACCGCCGACCCCGGCGCCGCGGCCATCCGTGTGATGAGCGACTGATGGTTGCCCCCGAAGTGTTTCTGCAGGTCTTGTGTGCGCGAGACGTACTTGCTCGACGGCCCGGGGCTGAAAATGGAGAATGGCAGGACGGAGTGCAGGTACGTGGCCAGTAGGGATGCGGGAAGCTCTAAGTGCTGGCCTTGAGTCTATAACCGTGGTTGAGACTCAACTTGAGAGAGAGCGGGTATAAAGCCGAATGAGTTACCTTGACCGAGGAAGGGATTGAAGCGTGGATTACCGCTCGGGAGGAGCGAGCACGGGACGTTTCAGGCTGCTGTTTGCCTCATGAGTCAACGCAACCCACCAGATAAAGCACTCACAGGGCTTGTGGATGGCTCCGGAGAGGATGTCTCCCGATAGTTCCTGATGATTCTGCTCCGCTTCGGGTGTCGCGTTCCCACCTCTGAGTCGGCGTCTGAACCCTCCTCACTGCGAAGTCGTTTTGACGGGGCCGACGTCCCAGCCACGTTGTGGGGTGGAATCTACATATATTGAGCTCCTGCAGAAGAACAGGGACAGCAGACCTCTGAAAAACGGTCTAGCAGGCCTGTATCGGCGCCAGACGACGTGGCAACAGAGGTGCCGCGGTCAATATCAAGGTTGATATTCTGCATGCGCGTAAGATCGTGTGGGCAAGGGGAGAAGAAGTCGCTCGCCGGCATCAAGTCTTGCTCCTTGACCTGTAAATCCGACCGTGGTAACAGGTCATCATCATCCAGAATGATAATCCTAGGGTTGGCAGCTGAAGACGTCTGCCCTTTGGCGTCAACAAACGAGCCTCGAGCCAGCAAACGGCTTCCGCACTCACCTTGGTCTTCAACTTCCTCTTCAACTCCGCAATCTGTCGCTTCTGGGCCTCTTTTTCCTGCTTGAGCTGCGCTATTTCGCTCCCCATCGCCCTGCCCTCCTTCTCTTTTTCGCACTCAGCGTCGTTCTTCGCCCACGTCGCCGTCCTTGCCTCTAGCCGCACACTCTCCAACTCACCTTCCAAATTCCTGATACTCTCCGCATCCGCCACCCTCCGTTCGCCCGCTTCCCTCAGCCGGCTCTCCGCCTCGCCCAGCCTCCCCTCCAGCCCCGCCTTTTCGCGCCGCAGTCGCTCGACGTCCTCACAGAACGCATCACGCTCGCGCTGCAGCTTGCGCACCCTGTCCTGCATGTCTTCGAGGGTTGGTTTGACGTCGGTGTTGGGCGGCACCAACTCGTCGGCCATCGCGATGAGCAGATGCGATGGATGATGTGCTGGTGAGAGTTTGAGAAAGAGACGTGAGTGATGAGGTAAGTAAATGATTTGCCGTGGGTCACATGGGTCACAACCTTTGATTGATTAATAATTCAAGCATCGGACTTCAGTTACATATCCCGGTGCTAGTCAACATTGCATTAAGTATATACTCTTATTGCTGGAGATATACAATATGCTTTGCACTCTCCTATCAGTGTTTTGGGTCTGAAATCAATCAAGTTAAGTTTTAATCATTGGTGCTATTAGCATACTGACATAAGTAATCAAGTATACTTGTCCCTTGATAGCAAGGGGGGCACAAGATGCCTATCACGGCTATGGGGCAGGGGGGGGGTCCAGAGCCTAGAAAAAAAACTTTTGTGTTTGGTGTAGGGATGCTTCAAGAGGTACTTAGGAGGCCTTAGGAGGCCTTTCATATGTAGATCTTCCATGTTAAATGCCATTTTATACCTTTGAATGCAGTGAAACCCAGTTTTTTTGGTGAAGTGACTAAACTTGTCACAGTCTTTGATAGCATCAACATATCATCATGATGCAAGAAGCAATACAACTTTATATGAAAGTTCATTTAAAGGCATAGGAACATTATAATAGCCTAGTTACAATTTAATTTAATCACATTTTCCATTTTCAAGACCTCTATCGATCATTTTGATGCGATTTTGATCGCATCAGTCACGTTTTCGTGGGAGATCATTACTATATAAGGCAGGAGGGGGAGGGGGGGGGGTCCAGTGGGCGCAAAAAAAAACTTTCAGCCCTATGTATGTAATTTCCACCTTGCGCCCCCCTTGCTTGATAGCCAATTTTATAAAAGCATTTTTCATTGTTTACTGCTGGTTGTGGTTTTCCACCAATTTGAGAGGTTTTAGTGTGATATTATGTGGTTGCAACCAGTGGTTTCAGTCCGCTTAGAGATTGACAGGCTATCACATTCGTGACATTCGTGACATCAAATATCGGCCGTAAATACGGCTACGGATGGCACGTTCCGGCGCTGACCGTCACCGTACCGTATAATTAGTTACTCTCCCCACGGCTCCGGTATGGCCGTACCGACTTGATGGCCGCGTTGCTTGTGCCCCGAGTGAGGCGTGAGTTGCTCGGAAGTCTCGTGAGTAGCAGCGACTGCGTTGCGTTGCATGTTGCTGGCATGCGACGGGGCGGGGACGCACATCACTAACCATCTGTCGCGGGCGGCGGCTCGGTATGCTGCGGCTCTTGGCGCCGTATCGTATCCGGCCGTGAACACCAAGTCCATGACCCCAATTGGTGTCGCCGACCGTAATCGCCGCAGCACGGCCAGCATCTTCCCGGACCGTACTATAGAGGCCTGCACGGTCCGGCAGCCATCCCTTGGCCTACAGCGCAGATCAGACAAACTATGTGATTTTTTTAAAAAAAAACCTGCCTTTTCTGAGTTTAAATGGAACATAATATATACAGTATGGCCGTACAATACTCCCTTTTTGGACTGAAACCTTACACAATGATCATTTTTTTGTCTATTTGATGATCACTGAGCACAAAACCACCCAGTGTTGTGACACAAAACCAGAAGTTTGGTGATGGAACCACTTTACAACGATAAATACCGTCATATCCTGTATGCTGAATAGGGTGCTGTGAGTAATGTTGGTTTCGAAACGGTTTTGAAACATGTGTGAGTTTTGAATTCCATGGGCATCTGACCCGGTTTTGAAACCAATATGTGATCCTCCGGGAAGCCCAGGCCTGACCACATCAGCAAACACGGATGCATTATCTGTAGCACTGCAGGTGCTCAGGTAGCCTTCGTAGCTCTGTAGCTAAGTACCCAAATAGGTAGTGTTGCAGTAGCAGTTCGGTAGCAAATAGTGATGACTGCATAGATGCCGCATAGACTCATCGTAACCACTCATAGCATTGATTAGTATGTGGCCTGCTCTTATAGCATCGGACAATTTCAAGCATGTATTTGAGATTAGACAATCGACGAATTTATATTTCATTGTTATCGAAATTAATCCAAGCTATGCACCATCTTCATCGCTTTTATCATCCCCCCCATTGTCCTCAGCTTCAGAATCCGGTCACGTATAATCCGCTCCTTCATCTCCTCTGACATTTCCTCGTCCTCAATGATTGCGTCGGAAGTAATACCAGCAGCGCGGCTATAAAGTGAGTTGAGTGAGCAAAAGGATCGGAGTACATGCATACCGAAGCCGCTTCCCCCATGTTGCGCGAAGCTTGCCGGAGAAAGCCGGGTCAATTGAGTCCCATTCCATAACCCGGGCAAGCGTCTTGTAGTAGATCGATGCCACCAGTCGCCCCTCGAAGGCCGCCTTGACGCATGTCCCGGTTTGCCACTCTTGAATGCAGAACTCAATCTGGATCATATGAGTATCAATACTGTGTTTAGAGAAGTCAGTACTTACCACCGTGTATATAAGAGCCATCATCTGCATTGTGATGCTTTCGAAGCTCTCCTCAAAGATGATACCAAAAGATTTTTCGCCATTATTGAAGTACGCTTGTCGGAGTATTGTGAAGGCGGCCTTGTTTTCGAAGAGACACGTGTGATTCTTGACATCCTAGAACGATGCTTAGCACGAGCCTTGAATTGAATCGTAGAGTACCTTGTAGCGAAAAGAGTTGTCCTTCAAAAAGAGTTGTCCTTCAATAGTGCTTTGCAGAGTTTACGGTTCTTGGAACGGTTTGCCGATGAGCTGGGATCGAGAAAGGCAAATGCCATTTGGACGGTGGGACGGCCGTGGACACGCAGAAGATCACCGCGAATTCGGCTGTCGCGACATTTGATCTATAATAATGAGGGTGTTAGTGACTGTGGATAGCGTGAAAGGGGCGGTGACAGTACAATTCGTTCGACCGGCTTGATGAGAAAGTACTTCACATCTGAGCTCGCCTGGGCCTCCCTCCAGCACTTCTCAATGAGCTCGAGGGTCGTGGGCATCTCTGCGACAATGCCATTGGCACCGCTGGCAGATGCTGTGGGATCTGCCCGTCGTTTACGTGGAAAGGCAGCCTCCGTCACAATGGCCGCCTCGAAGCGATGGCATGTAGCAATGATGATCTCCCGTGGACCGGCAGCGTAGTCTTCGGCCTTAGGCTTTGCACCAGCCCGGTAGTCAGCAGCAAGCATAGGGATAACTTGACCATCGGAGGTCGTCTTTGGAGTTGGATCTCGTGATAGTGTCAGTTTGTAGAAGTGCTATGATATATGGTGTACAGACCTTGTTGAGTGGTCGTCCGGGCGCGCTTCTCCGCTGGTAACTCGTCATTGATGAGCTCTCACCAGAGCCAGTCGCGAAAATGCCTTGCAATACAAGAATCTCGCCGCAAACGGAAGCTTGTGGAGGTGTCCGACCATAACATGGACATTGACGAAGGCAATAGCCCACTCCCTGCATCGCCACCCACTTTCGATAGACCACCGACACCGAAGAAGGCCAGGGTTGAAGACGTTGAGGACGACCCAAGTAACGACCCCATCTCCTACTATGACCCGCGCTTTCTCCACCGAGAGTCATATCCAGTCTAGTGCTGTCCAATTATGATTATGAATAGGAAATTTTCATAATTTATTCATATTCATAATATATTCTCCCTGCTGGAGCATATTATAATTGTATTCATATTCATAATCATAATTGGGCTCACAATATGAATATATTATGAATATATTCAATTATATTCAAGCTTCACAAGTCTGCACATGGTGCATATAATCCACCTTATCTCATGGTTTATTGAACCACTCCTTGGTTATGGTTGTTTCTGTGGCCAATTTTGCAGTCATTGAGGCATGCATATCTGTCATCCTATGCTTGATGCTGGAGTCTGGAGACCAGGTGCCCTACAGAGATGCTCTTTGCAGCCATAACCAGGATTGGTAACATAGCCTGGATATTCTACAACAAGATATTAAGCTGAACAAAACTCTAGCCTAGGTTAAGTATGATACCTTCACCAGCGAAGAGTATCATCAAAGTCCAGGGTAGCAATATAAAGGTCAACTTCAGCCTTCTGTCAGGGCTGGATATGGATATTGTCCGGCCTGATTTACTGCCAAAAGCCATTGATATGGTAAAGACTGAGTTTGAAGATGTTGCTACTGCTGCTAGTAGCCTGCTACAGAGCTAGTACCTCTGGCTGAAGGGCTTGCTGGTGTATTTGAATATAATTAATTATGGCCAAGGTATAATATATTATATTCATAATATATTCATATTCATAATCACTCATATTCAATGGGTCTGAATATGCAAAGGGCATAATATAATCATATTTATTCGAATATATTCAAAATATATTCTAGCATAATATAATTGTGGACAGCACTAATCCAGTCGAGCGAGAGGCAGGGAAGCAAAAGCGAAGAGTTGAGACACCATTCGAGGAGCAGGAGGCAATACATGAAAAGCAGGGGGAGAAGCCATACACGCCATTCGAATCACTGGACGATTGGGACCTCGCGCAATGGATGGTCCGTTCGGGACTGTCGCAAGGGAAGATAGACGAGTTCCTGCATTTGAAAGCAATACGACGTCTTCATCTTCCATATAACACCAGCCGCAGCTTCTTCAAAGACATTGATTCACTTCCCAGTGGGCCAAAGTGGATGTGTACACCGATGGAGGTGGTGGGCGACGAGTTGGATGATCATGGGAAACCACAGATCGAGGTACTTGAGCTTTGGCACCGCGATCCGCTCGACTGTATTCGCGAGCTGTTGGGCAACCCGAAGTTTGAGAAGGACCAGACTTTCAAGCCAATGCGCCTCTTCCGCAAAAGGGATTCGTCGACAGGGGAGGGAATTAATCGCCAATACGATGAAATGTGGACTGGGACTTGGTGGTGGGACACACAGGTGAGTGGTCCGTGATACAGGGAGACAGTTCCACTCACCATACAGCTAGGACTTGCTCGAAGATGGCGCAACGATCGTTCCCGTTATCCTCTCCTCCGACAGGACCCAATTATCCACCTTCGCTGGCGACAAGCAAGCATGGCCCGTCTATATAACGATTGGAAACATCAGCAAATCTGTTCGCCGACAGTCAGGTGCGCGTGCGACGACATTGCTTGGGTACATACCGGTGCCGAAGCTGGATGGGGTGTCCAAGAAAAACCGAAGGTTTCGCGCCTATCAGATCTTCCACGACTGCATGCGGCAGATGTTGTCGACATTGGTGGAGGCTGGGAGGAAGGGAGTCGATATGGCGTGTGCGGACGGGTGGGAGCGATGGATATTCCCGTTACTTGCGGCATATATTGCTGACTATCCCGAGCAATGCTTGGTGGTATGCTGCCAGGAAAACTCCTGTCCGACGTGTGTTTGTCGTCCAAAAGAGAGGGAGTTGACGAAGGAGTTTGCTAGAAGGACGCAGCAGCATACCCTGCAGGTGCTGGAGAAGGAGTCCCAAGGTCCAAGAGGTATGCATACCTGAAACCCCCGACGTCAGGTCGGAAAAGTGAATTAGCTACTGCTGGACACCCCCCCTCCCTGTGTGACGTCACGCCATGTGATTGCACGTGATGTCCCAAAAAGGCAATTCCTTGATGGTCGCCAGAAACTGGTGAAAATGTTATGCAGTACTACTAATTTCCTCTATATATAGTATCCCTTCTTGTGCCCTCCACCCACATTCACCCTGCAGACATCATTATGAAACCAATTTTGGCTGCGGGCATAACTGGCGTGACTTGGGTGTGACGTGGCTGTGTCATCACCACCTAAACAGGAAATTCCTAACAAAATGCTTATACATGCCTCAGAAGAACCCCAAAATCTGCTTTCAATGACAATTATATGCATTCTGAGACCATTAATAGCATTCCCAGCCACTCTGTACCCTACAAAAGAAAAGTGAATTAAGGCCACCAGACCACCCCCCTCCCCTCCCCCCTGACGTCTCGGCTTGCGCTGGCGCGTACCCCTTGCCAAGGTCTGAAGCCTAGAGAGTTCGATGAGCTGAATTTGCGGCCAATCGATCCGTTCTGGGCAGACTTACCGCATTGCGATATCAACTCATGCATCACCCCTCACCTCCTGAGCCCAGTGCAATGTGCAGCACAAGGGTTATAACCCAAAAGTGCAATGCACACTTTATGGGTTATCAATACATCAATTTGAGGAGGTGTTCGGCCATGTCGGCAAATCACTAGGATTTGATGTCCGAGTGCTTATTTGATGGTTGATTCTCGGCACTTCGGCATCAAATTAAATAGCATTATATCCACGTTTACGCCGCGAACAATATATGTAATCACCGGTGGACGCGCGGACGCCGCACTTCCCCCGCCAGCACCCATCGCGCCTCCCGGTTCCACCCTACCCCCCGCCAGCTGCCAGTGTTCGGTCGGCCGTCCCGGCCATCCCGCCCGCCCGCTGCCCACTTCCCTCCGCCCGCTGCCCACGTGCGACCCGCTGCCCGCTGCCCGCCAGTGCGCACTGCCCGCCCAGTGCGCTGTGCGCCGGCGGCCGCGCGCCGCCCGGCCCTGGCCATTCGGAAATCGGTTGCCTGTCAGCGCGTCCTGGCTACAAAACTCCGTCCCGGACCACAGCCTCCAGCGTCCCAGCAATGCGCGCGCCCCCATTGGGCAACCACACCACCTTGCCCGCCTTGAACACTGCCCGCCGGTCGGAGGGCTGACCGCGGGCCCATCCCTGGCTGCCAGTCCCAGTTCTGGCGATCCCGCAGCTCCAGTTGGCCGTTCCCTTGGCCGTTCCGCCAGCCCCCACCTTGCTTCTGCTCCCCGCCAACAACGCATACGCTGATGCGCGACACCGACGCCATCAACGTTGCCCGCCTCATTCGACCGCACTCCCGTCCATTGTAGGGCCCCGACGCCGCCGGCCCGCTGCTTCCAGGCTGCAAACATCAGCCCAGGCCACATCCTCCAGCGTGCTGCATCGTGCCCAGCGATGCGGGCCTCCTTTGCGCAACCACTACGCGCTGCCCGCCACTTCAGCTCGGAGCCTTCCGGTCGAAACATGCGGCGCGAGCTGGGCCCGTAATCGTGCCTGGTTGTCAGTTCCAGTTCCGGCTCCTCCTGTTGGACTCACCCCTGAATTTCGCAGCGGCTCCCCCACATCACCAACATGCCTGCCACACATGCAACACCCACCCGTTCCTGAATCCTCAACCCTTGTGCTCGGCGCGGGGACCAAGCGGGGACCATCATTTTCGTCGCTTCGTGCTGAGCAGCTGGGGTTGCGGGTCTTCGGCAGTGGCGCTGGCCTATTATTGCGACTCTCGGACTCGCACATATGAGTCGCCAGTGTCCAGTTTGGGTTGAGGGGAGCTCGAGAAAGGTGGTGGTGGGTGAAGAAAGAAGAGGATAGTCTGCCACGTAGCGTGACATCGGCCTTCGGCGTTTGGCCCGGAGTCCGATCAAACCTCTCGGAGCGACCATTTCTCTGGATTATGGGCGGCATCCTGGTTTCTGGAGGCTGTGAAGCACGGAGCAACGAGTCTAGAGGCTATAAAAATACATTACCAGGCATTTTTTGCCCGCAAACCTTGACAATAAATGTTGGCACGCTGAATAAATGTCACACACAGCCAATTATAAATCTGGGATTTTGTATTTTCAATGTTTTGAGGTGAATTTTGCAGCATTAATTGTATTGAAAATGGCTATGGATTGTCATTGCTTGCCCCATTTTGACAATATATACATTTGTGGGAGATACAGATGAGAATGTTTCATAAGGACATTGAAAGTCGCAGAGTGCGAAGGCAGTTTAGCACTGGCAGTCAGTTCACAACTGGTTATCTTCAAGTTCTACTGCAATGGTAAATCTGATTGAGGACTTATGAGCTTTTGCACATGTTCTGGGGCATATATCCCCTCTCTAAAACTGTCTTTATCTACTCTAATAGTACTCTATGTTCCACATAATTAAGAACACATTGAATCCCAGATTTTCAGTCACACTGTTACAAGGGCTTCCTGCCTGTAACTGATGTGCTAGCTATGGCTGCCAAGAGTGAAGTGGAGGAAAACTCACTGCCAGTCACTGGAGACCCGCCAGCCGCTGCGGCGCGCGTAGGGCAAGGCCCGGAACCGTGGCGCGCCGCCGCATGGGACTGTCACGTGGCCGTGGCCAGGGCCCAGGGCCAGCCATGAGTATTCGATCCAACCAGTGTACCACATGCTGGCGCGTGGCGCGCATATGATGCTACACTGCACTATGGCATGGCGGGCTGTTAATAGGCACATTTAACAGCGCTGCGGGACCCGTCGGCGCCGGGAGGCCCGGGGAGGGCCGGGATCAAATTGACACCCCCGTTGTTTGTAACCCCCAGGTGACAGTCCAGGTGTAAGCGCGGGCCTGGCTCTAAAGACCACGCAATGTGGTTCAGGCCGGAGCCGGAATGGGGGGCCGCGAGCTGAGGTCGGGTGGTGGGGTCACCGCCGGGGTGGCGCCGTGCGGGTGTCCGCATGCGTTGCAGGGGGGCCGCGGAGGCTGCTGGAGACCTCCCAGAGCCCACACGAACTCATCGTTGAGCAGTGCGATGTGGAGGCGGGAACGGGGGGCGGGAACGGCAGCTACCGGGCAGCACCGGGAAGCGCCGGGCCGCGGTATTGGCTACAAGCGGCCGGCGAGGCCCGCACGCACCGGCGTATGCGTCGTGTAGGCTGTGGGGTGTCAACGGCGGCTCGAACCTGCGGTCCAGGCCGGAGCCGGAATGGGGGGCCGCAAGCTGCGGTCGGGGTGGCGGTGTGGCACCGTGCGGGTGTGCGCATGCGCCGTGGAGGGTCGCGGAGGGTGCTGGAGGCCTCACAGAGCCTGCACAAGCCCATTGTGCGGCAGTGCGACGTGAGGGCGGAAACGGTGGGCGGGAACGGCGGCTCCCGCGCAGTACCCAGCAGCGCTGGCGGGGCCAAGGCGGGGCGGCCACAGGCGGCCTGCGACGCACGCCGGTGCGTGACCTGCTAGTGCGGAGGGAATGCGTAAACCCTGTGCGCCTCTCGGAAGCTTCGTGCTACGGGCAAGCAGCAAGGAGGCGGGCAAGGGCGGCCTAGGAGCGGCCGGGCGGAGTCTCCGTTGATCGGAGTCTCCGTTGATCGGAATCCCGGAGGACGTGGAAGCAGTGACAAATGATCGTGATCGCGGCAGCAGCAATTCCGGGACCATCAGGCATCAATATTGATGCCCACCAGCGCCGGGGACATCAATATTGATGGCCTGAAGCTCCCTGGGCCCTGCTAGGTTATATCCCATAAAGTGTGCATTGCACTCTTGGGTTGTAACCCATATGGTGTGCATTGCAGTAGGGGTATCAGCTGCACCCCTGACCTCCTTCACCAACTACACAAGGGGGTGTTTGCAGACCATGTCTCGCAGTGGGCTGGCCAGTCGATGGACGGAACGGAGGACGAGAGAAAAAGAGAGATCGATGCTCGCTTCAAAGCACTGCCATGTCATCCCACCCTTCGTCACTTCACCAATGGCACCTCTGTCATTAAACAATGGACAGGGTCGGAGTACCGAAGTCTGGCGAAAACATTTCTTGGTGTTGTCCACGATGCGGTCGATGAGAAGGTGGCGGCTGTCACGCGTCACTTTCTTGATTTCATGGGCTATGCCCATCTACAAGTCCATACCGATGACTCTCTGGCTGCGATGAAGGAGGCGTGGACAGCAATGCATAAAGACATTGAGGTCTTTAAGCGACTTGGTCCCGAGCGAACAGATTTCAATATCCCGAAGTTTCATAATATTCGACACCATATGGAGAGTATTCGGTTGCTGGGCACTGAAGATGGGCACTGAAGCTACAATACGGAGAACACTGAGCGACTGCATATCGACCTTGCAAAGAATGGCTACCGAGCATCTAATCGGGCGGGATTATGTCCCACAAATGACGCGTTGGCTGACACGCCAAGAATCCGTACATCGATTCTCGCTCTACCTGCAGTGGAAATGCCCAGGATATTCGCCTGGCCGGGGCTATACACCACCGGACAATGTAGAATGGGAACAAGACGAAGAGGATTCTGATGCAGAGGATGAGCCGGAAGACGATCTGGACGACGACAGCATTAAGTATGCAATTGCTCAGCGCCCCGCTTACGCAAATTTGTCGAGCATGGACATTGAGCAACGATTTGAAGTCAAGGACTTCTTCTACTACATAGAAGAGTATCTGAACAAAAGCAACACACCTCTCCGACAACCTCTCACCGCCGAAACACGCTTTAGTGCATTCAAGAAGGCGACCCTCTCCCTCCCGCTTATTCATGCTGTCGAAGCCGAAACCACTGATACTATCCATGCCGTCTTACCAACACAAGGATCAATCTCAAATGACGGAGTCAAACGGGGAAGTCCGGCAAGGTTCAGCACCGTGCTTGTGCGCGTAAAGGAGCGGAACGGGAAGGAAGGGCCGTTTAGTGGTAAGTTTCTATGTTACACCAGCGTCAGCATTGTTTTTGACTCAGTATAGGCTTACAAGCAGCGCATGTGAAGTTGATTTTCAAGCTCCCCTCAAACATTTCCGACTGTCAGCACCCACTTGCCTATGTCCATTGGTTCATGCCATTTCGTGATGCTTTGGCTGATTTCAAGTCTGCTTTGGGATTTAGTCGCATCGCACACTCAACAACCATGGGCCAACGTCGGTCTGCGGTGATTTCCCTTTCAGATATCGAACAGTCCTGCCACCTCATTCCTCAATTTAGTCATCCTGCCAACCCTCGATGGACATCGAATGATATTCTCACTCAAGCCACAGTGTTTTATTTCAATCCGTACCTCAGGTATCGAGATTTTTACATCTTCCGATATCATATGTATCTGGTGGCAGTTGAGCGTGCACAAAGGGCAGCAGATTTGGCTCGTACACTCGCAAGAGGGGCTAATAATATAAATTTTTTGACTTGAAGTGTTCACTAAAACTGAAAATCTTTTCATATTGTGCATAGATTACTAGAGCTATCCCTAAATGCTATCACACTGCTATCAGATGCTACATAGCACAGGGTTATTGCTACGAGTGGCAATGGTAGCACCCATTGGGTCGATATCATGCGCACTAGATGATGTAGCCAAATCCGTGCTTGCTGATGCATTATGGCTTCATGCATGAATCATATCACCTGTAGTCACCTACTGAAGACTAAGCAGGTAAGTTATTGCAGCAGTGGGGCCGCCTCTGACACCAGCAGGGCTTTGCCCTTGGGATTGTGATACCCAGAGAGTGTCACAAGCTGCTGGCTGTCAGCGGCCCCCTGGCCGGCCGGTTTTGAAACTGTTTTGAAATGGAGGTGTTTTGAAACCGGTGTGAGTGATGCTTTTTGCATTACTTACAGCACCCTAACATTGCTGAAATCTAGTTATTAAGCTTGCATTTAAAATGAAATACTCTCTCAAAGAAGAAGAAGAAAGGGTGACCAAATAGGTCCAGACTCAATACCAAATTGGGGAGCTTATCACCTCCTCAAGGCTCATATTACGTTTACCCTAGGGCCATTTTTATGCATATTCTAGACAAAATATCTACTTTTTAATATACTATAGCATTTTAGTCATTTTACCAAATGACAAATGATTCCCTAATTTGGAAGTGAATCAGTAAGAACATTAATTAATTTTATATATGTTCATATATATATATTCAATTAGATTAAATTTCAGATAGAAAGAAAGTTGACCTTTCCCTAGTCATAAGCCCATTTAAAAGATAGTGTTTCTCTTCTTCTTCCCATTTATATAAAAAGATCACCTATGGAAAAAAGAAGAAGACTGTTGAAAATTACAAAACTGCTTGAAATGACCTGTTTTCATATTCCTTTTTGTGCAGTACCAAGAACTCATTTCAATAACGTGGAAAGGTGCTCAGAAAGATGTTATTTCCTGTTCTCTTCTATTCTGACACAAATTTGTCCTTTATTCTGACAGAAAAATGGAAGGAAATTGCTTTGTTTCTGTTACCTGTGTGTCCTAGTATGCATTGTGAATTATCAGGTCTACCATGGCTATGATTCATGATGATATCTGCACGGCCCATACAAATGAATAATTTATAGAAGATGTGATAAATCATTTCTTTTTTTTTGTTTAAGTCTATAAGTATATGAATAACTATAAACAATTTAAGTAGTATAACACTTGGACTTGAGATCTAACACTGGTATGTAATGTCACAAAAGGCTTTTTTTGTTGGAAATTGTGATATAAGTGTATCATGCTATAAATAATAATGACTATGGTAGTATTCTGGGAGGGTGAAACATAACACATACCAGGCAACCTGTTTCAGGCATTACTATTCACATTTGCAGTAACGTCAGACAAATACTCTTCTCCTTTTTACCATTACCACATTTGCCATCCACTTCCTCGGCTGCTTGCAGTGTGACACACTAACAGCCTGCAGCATGTACATAAGTCATAATATTTGGGGGGGGGGACGGGGCATTGCAGCCCTGTATTTATACTGTACAGACAGTATCTAGATAATTCTACTAGACAGAGCCTTGAATGTTACTTAGATAAGGTGAGGAAAATTTCACTAACTACAGAATAGCATACAGGTGCCTAATAACCTTCTTAAATATCTGGTTTATTATTATCTATATAGATTGTAACCCTATTTTATATACTTATTCATCAATTTGTTAGGAAATTGTGTTGACATAGTAAATAACCCTGAATATACTTCATGGTACTGGGAGTTATACAAATTTTAGCAACTTGAACATATGCAGCTGTGCAGGGAGTTTGGGCCAAGAAAAATTGGGGAAAAAATCACAGATATTTTTCAAGATTTTGCTAGTAAAATTTTTGATCAAAACTTGAATGTGGTTCTAAGGAAAAAACTTCAAGTTTTTGATTGAGTTTTTTTTTAAGCAAAAATGAGAACAAAAACTCCTAATTTTTCTTTTTGGAAAAAACTTGAAAGTTTTTTGTTTCTAAAAGATTAAGGAAAAAACTGATCATTTGTGCAACAACTTTTAATGGGAAAAAATTTCAAATATTTAACAAGCAAGAATGTTGAAAAACATCTTGAATTTTTTTTCTTGTAAATTTTTCTTGGCCAAACTACTTGCAAAAACTGTCAATACCATCATTGACATTGCAGACACTGACAGTCACGCTGACAATGAAGGCGCCAGCACCAGCTATGGTGAAAACAAGAAACCAAAGTCGAAGAAGGAGAAATCAAAGTGTCGACATCTTATGGAGCGAGATTCAACATCCTTTATTGAGTCTAAGGGGCACCAGTGTCGAAAATGGCGTGCTAGTAAGAAGCCATCAAATTTGGCACAAGAACACCTTTAGTGTCAAAATCAAGAAGATGGGACCAACAATTGTCAAGGTATACACATAGTTCATTTACGACCTCACTCATTGCTGATTGTGCACATCCGTAGTGCATCAAGAGTTGATATTGGTCTCCCGGAGTCCGAAAACGGGCCAGAAGTAGGCATAAAGCCTCGATATCAAAGAAGACGGAGCAATTTTTTGTCTTGAATGGCTGAGGGATGTCGAGCACATCTACAAGTGTTTGTAACTCTGCAGTATATAAGCTAGAGGTCCTATAAGGATATGTAAGTTGCAGATAAGTGGTTGAGACCGACCGGAATTGGTATACGCAGTCACAGGGCTTGAGCTGCTCAAGCCAAGGTAGGCTGATTCGTGTACCTCCAATATCCGGGCGTGCATAGGGAGACAATGGCATGCTGGGCAGGGTTGAGCTGAGCCAAATATTGTCGCCTCCATAATCCATTGCAGCATGGAGTGCATTTGTGCCATCGAGGCCTAGTGTTTGGCCAAGGAGCATGTAGCACAGAAGCTCTTAGCGAATAGGGGGCATGACTCTGAAGGGGACGTTATGGCAAGATGAGAGAGAGGCACAGGTCCCATTTTAGAAGGACGCTGGATAACCCCAGTCACATTATTGTATTGTAGCCAGCGAGAAAAGCGACATTTGTGAAGTGGAGCTCAATTTTTGGTGAAAATCTACATCAAATGTTTTCAAGTTTTGGGAAAAACCCGCTGCTGATAATCTCTATTGTTCTAGTTTTTCTCTCTCTATATATATAGTCTGACATTTTCTTGGTAATCATTAGGTAAAAAAATTTCTCTGATATTATGCAAGCAAAAGTTGCTGAAAAAAGTCTAGTAGTTTAGTAATTGGTTATGAAAAACCCGCTGCTGATAATCTCTATTGTTCTAGTTTTTCTCTCTCTATATATATAGTCTGACATTTTCTTGGTAATCATTAGGTAAAAAAGATTTCTCTGATATTATGCAAGCAAAAGTTGCTGAAAAAAGTCTAGTAGTTTAGTAATTGGTTATGACTAGGAACTTTCTGTAAATGCACTTAGAAGCCTATAGAAACTCATGGATTTTAATATCATATCATATGGCTATGTGAAATTGTGAATTGCTTCCTAATGCTTAAACAAGAAGTCCAACATATATTCCTTTATTGTCTTTTTCTGGTACCCCCTTGAGCTTGCCGGTAGTTTATCACATCACTATTCTGTCCGCAAATACTATAGTAAAGCTACAGTGAATAATTCAACTAGTAGATATCTTATACCCTTGTTTCTCCTCTCTCTGTCCTGTCTGTGCTTCAGTGCTGACTTCAGTGTTCTGGGTCAAAACATTCTGGCTGGTATGTGGTAGACTACTGGTAGGATGATCAAATCTTGCACCACTGAGACTCGGGCCAGAATCTATCCCTTGGGGAAGTTCTACTGTCTGTATTGGCCCTTCTCGGAATGGTACCCCGACAAGGAAGTTTCCCAGGAGGGTTAAGGCATAAATCCTGCCCTGACAAGAGAAAAAGAAGCTAAATTCTGCTAAAGTGAATCAACTGATCTTCACTTCTTTAACAATGAAAACTTACCAGGACTTCCTTTCAGAAGAAGAGCCATGACAATCAACGTATTTGATGCGACAACTACACCAGAACTGATGACCAAGAGCAGAAACCTTTGAGAGAAGCTACAGCATAACAGTCAGTCGCCAGACAGCCTCAGAAGAAAAATTGTAGACCTAGATCTAGTAGGAAGGACATCTGTTGGGCCCATCATCCTCCATACTTTGAAGCCTAAGCATCCAGCAATTGCAAAATCTGTGATAGCACAAGTAATGGAAGAAGCACTAAAAATACAGTCTTGTCATTGAATAGCATTCCTGAGAATAAATGGCAGACCTTGCAGTCCTCAAAGCTATGGTCATTTCTGAGGAAAGTACGATGATAAGTCCTCCAGATGTGAATGCCAGGGCCATCTTGTGCACTAGGTAAGTAGAGCATACAGTGCATTTGAGTTGGCAAAAAGCATACATGTGAGAGGATGAGGATTGCCAGAAATATTGTCACTGGTAGATTATGAGTCCTGAAGGACATAAGTAGGTTGACATGAGAAATATGCAGTGACAACCCACAGTGCAAAAAATATACAACACATGACAGTCTGCTCGACAGCCGCCGTCGCATACGTCATCATAATTGACAGTATTGTGGGCACAAATTGCGCTGTCGTACCGGAAACGCCCGCAATTACGAGGCACAAGTTTACGCATATGTCCATGGTGCAGACTGTGTCAAAAAGCAGCATTGCGCCTGCACAGATGCGATGGAATAAACGGCGTTTCGGTCGTCGGAAAAAGGCTTGTATCAGCACAAGCTCCAAGGTATAGAGGGCAACATTCAACCACGATGCTGCAAGGAGTAGCCTGTGGATAGATAAGTCAGCCAGGGGCCAATCATCATGATGATATACGCGAGGACGCACACATTTGTCAAGACCATGCTTACAGCCATGTGGCAAACGGCTAGTGTAAGAGTGTCAGAGTAGTGTCTTCGATCGTCTCGGAGGATCCCTTTATAAAGTGGCGCTTGACATTGAAGCGCTTCGCATCACAACACTTCGCCGCGCCGTGGTGCCAAGTTTAGCAGCCTTCGGAGTCTCAAAGGTTCCTCCGACTTTGATAGTCCTCGTTGTGCGGTTGGGCGAGCGAGAAGTCCTTGTTATGCGCGTTGTCAGGGGGAGAAATGTGACCCATAATCAAAACGGACGTGGCACCAAGTCATTTGTCCAGCTTGCGGCAAAGGAGAAGTGGAAACCAGCCGCGGCCGTCATGTTTTTAATGCCGCCGTGATCCTGGCCCACGACAAGTCCCCGTCTTCCGCATCTCGACACCTCCTCGCACGGTGCACAGCCGACGGTGACGACGGAGACGGAGTCTGCAACGGCCGACGGCAAGCGTGTGTGTGTAGCGGAATTCGAGAACCAGGTTGTGATATTCGAGTCCGACACCATCGCGCGTCGTGGGAGGAGGAATCAGACGGAAGATGAATACAACAAGAATTTACATTGAATATAAGCAACTCGCGAGTTTCACCGCCAAGATGTCGAGATCGTCTGCGTTCCTGAGCCAACCGTTGTGACGCTTCGATTCGGGTCCGACTCCCACACAACCTGGACAAACAGCAAGGAAAACAAGTGAACATCGAGACTCGGCATATAAAAGGCCCTTACCGAGCCATCTGTCTCCTTCCTGATGAACTTGTACTGGAAATTAGTGTTTGGGGGCAGGTTGACCGTGATTGTCCAGACTGGATACGATGCAGAGGAGAGCGGTAACTGTGAGGCTCGCTTCAACGGATGTGGGCGAAAATGAGGCACTACTCACAGCAGACGCCGGCGCCCAGTTGCCCAGCTGCGAAATGCTACCCACAAGGAAAATATTCTTGGGTCATTAGTGGACGTTCCTGTGCCACGACGCCATTTACCTCGCCAAATGTCGTGGTTGCCGTTTCGGCCCAGCTGACAGCCACTGTCCCACTCCCTCCGCCGCCGCCACCACCACCACCTGAACCAGTGCCCTGGGCTCCCGTGTGAATAGCGACAGCGCTTCGTGCCGGCACTGTCGCTGTGAGTTTACCTCCAGAGACGGTAAACCTGTGGAATGTTCCGTTGATTTGATCAAGCTGGAAGGAAAAGCACTGACCCCGTGCCGGTGCATGCTCCATTCGAACTCTTCCCACTGATCACATCGCAGTAGTTGCCATTTGGCAATGACGTGGTGAAGGTCGCAGTCCAGGCAGAGTCGGCATTGTTAATCGCGACAAAGCCCAGGCTACCTGGCGCTTGCTTAGCACAGAGAATGAAGGGAGGCCGGAAGACTTGCCTCGACCAAAAGCTATTTGCTGGGACTGCGGACTGACCCAGTTATTCAGTGCGGCGCTGCCAACATTGTTCCGGAACCCAACCATGCCGGAGATAGCGACGTAACGGTGCTGGCAGAGCCATCCGTTAGCACCGCCTGTCGCCGAGCAGGTGCCTGAAAACTTGTAAAATCGGATATGAAGAGTATATCAAAACCTACCAGCGTTGTTGTTTGGTGCCCCGGCGTCAGTGTTTGAGAAGCTGTACGAAGAAAGCACAGTGGGGGTTCCATATGGATGCGCAAGAGAGAAGATAGTTGCGGTGATATAGGTATTGGAAGGCGAATTAATGTTGAGCGAGTTACCATTCTGCGTTATGAACGGTCAGCACACAAATGCGCAGACGGGAAAGGCGTACACGCTCAGTATCATGGTTGGCCACAAACACATTGGCCTGCGAGCCCGCGACCCACCCTATGAAAGAGTTAGACGTGACCAAGCTCTATAAGAGGGAACGCACCTTGATTGTCAAGATTTTGTAGACCGCTGATCCCTCCTCCCAAGAACGCATTCTTCACGGCAGTAGTGTATCGGAACTCTTGGACGTCTCCGTTTCCAACGTACTCCGATGGCTGAATTGGTTCGCCAGAGCCCCAGATGACTTCCTGGGTAATATATGGCTTAGATGAAAGGCGCGATAAGATATTGGCGATGTCCGATGACGCGATGTCTGAGTTGATTCAAGAGGAAGAACATTGGAGCAAAGATAACTGACGTTTCGCTGCATCCAGTCGGAACCCATCGACTCCAAGGGACAGCAGGTGGTTGCCGTACGAAGCCAACGTGCTTCTGACGTGGTCTGTCTCCGTTGCAAGACTGGGAGCTGATAAGCGCGCGGATGCAGAGGGCATTCGGACGCACTCTGCCAAATTCACAAGCTCGCAGGTCTGCACCTCTACGCGGTTCCCGTAGTTGACGATGTCGTCTCCCGATTCGAGGCCGCAATGGTGGAAGTCCTGGTGACCAACAGCTCTCGGTAATTGACAGTGGACATAGCGCCAAAAAACGCACCGAGTTGGTATATATACCGGGATAATTATAATGCGTGAATGACGAGCCGGCGGTTCCAGTTCCCGAGTCGACACCGGCCATGTGGTTAAAGAGTGTGTCTTTCCAACAATCAGCAACGGAACGGAGACCGTCAGATCTTGAGCGCACCAGTAATCACTTTCACACCTGCAGCATGGCATGTAGAAACCATCCTGTGGCATCGCGTCATTGCTGAGAGAACATGATGAATGATCAGCGACGAACGCAGAGAACTGGGCTTCATTCCCTCGTTTGGATGTGAGGATATAGGATACAGGCTGGTAGTCTGTCCACCATTGGGAACCAGTGATATGTTCTTGGGGCGGACTGACTGATGAGCAGTCAGGATGGTTTGAGAGCGACTTTGTATCGGAAGCGGATACACACCTTGGACAAAGCCATATCCGGCTGGCCCGATGAAATTAGTGCATTCTGCGGCAACGCTGTTCCAAGACCATTCGAACATCTGAATTATGACGGTCTTGGACCCCGAAGGGGCACGGACGTCCAAAGTGACGTTCGACATAGGCCCGGGTGACGCGAGCGGCGAAGCGAATGAAAGAGTAAGAAGCGCCAACTGGAGGGCCAGGGCGACAGCACGGAAAGCCATGGCGCCGCACAGCAGGGAGGCAATGAGCGACGATGGGTAGGCCATGCGCACGACCTATTACTTATAGCGTCCAACTGGGAAGTCCAGCTGATACCTAAGTATCATCCCTAAGCCGAAAGAAGCATGCAAACGAACAAGCTACCCACCTCAGCAGATATCGTCACACCATCGATGCGGCCACCCGACCAGCACACGTGGGTGTGGCAACTGTCGTCCGTAGATGGATGGGAGGTGACCAAGTTTGGTTGTACGTATGGTGACTCTGGCTGTGCAGCCCCGCTTATTTGCAGCCCGCCACACGGGGCTTTGGAATGCGAAACGAAAGAGGGAGGAAGAGAAGTGGTGACGTGGGATTCCGCATGATCACCGGATCGTAAATGGCCGTCACCACGTGGCAACTCGACAATCAGCTGTGACGTACTTATCGTATATAACTTATATTCTAAGAGATAAGAAAGCAGAAATATTAAAAGTATTTGTATATCAATGATTATCGAGACAAATAATACACTCTGTATGTTAGATAGAGGCGTAAATCAATCTTGCCGATCGAGTCTCTTCGTCTCCGAGTAAAGCAGCAGTAAAATAACAAATTGGCGCTGCGGCTCGCTTTGCAGAGCCCGCGAGAGACGTAGGACGGGGAGAGGGTTGGGCTTGAAGACATGCTTCGTCGCCGAGGTGAGCGACGCAACAGGTTCGTTATTCGCGTCCGACGCCTACATCAGTATGAGCAAGTCCAATATCGGAGTGGGGACAGACGCACAATCCACATGTTGTCCAGATAACGCACTTTGTACTCCTCCTTGTCGTCTCCCCAGCGCCAATATCTCGACCTTGGTATGGCGGAATTAGTTGACTGGCCGCCGGCGCAGCGCATACTGGGGCACTTACCCGGTGAAATTGCCCGTCTTGCGCTTCACCTCATCGACGCCCTTCATCTCCCCTCCAACCTGCAGCGTCCGGGCCTTCCAATCGATCACCGCCTTTGTGAGCTCGTTCGTGGAGGGCTCATACCGCTCAAGGGTCGTCGGCGGACGGGTGCTATGCGGATTCTTGGCTGTCCCCGTAATCGTTGTGTACTGGCGCGTAAGATAGACGTCCCGCAGGGCCGTTCTGAGCAGCCGCTCCGACTCGAAAGTGTACTCGTGCATCCGGCCAGCAGCGACTGCGGCCGCGAGAGTGGCAGCGGCGCTCGAGCTCGAGCTCATCGGTGGGCAGAGAAGGGGGGCGCCGGGCCTTGGAGCGGGAAGAATCTTTTTCACATCGCGTGAAGTGTTTCCGCTTATGTATGACCTCACGGCGGGCCGGGGGCCGGAGCCGGACTCCGCCGAATGGAGATCATTGTCCACGTTTTGTTCTTGTGCCTCACACGCCTTGCGATATGAACAGCGAAAATCCGTCCTGTCGCGCGAAACTTGGATACCCAGACGGTCAGCTGGACCCGAGCTGGTGGATCGAAGATGGACATTGCGTGGCTCAGCCTGAGGCTTCGACTCGTCGTCAGGGACTCAGGGCCTGGTCGTGAACAATGTTCAACGTTGTTGTTGAGGTGCGAGCTTCCGTGTTTTTTGGGAAAGGGACGCCAGTACCCCTGTTTGGCTAGGCAAAACATTTTCCAAGTTGGCTTGACAACCTGAGGCTGCGCAGCAAAAAAAAATGCGGAATTTATTCGGAATAAGTATATGATCGACGAGTTACGATCGAATTACCAGGAACAGGCGTCGTTTTTGGTCTCTTCCACTGCCTTCTCCCTGATCTCCCTCGTGTGATGAGGACTACTTGAGCGACGACCGACCTTGAGCGTAAATTTGAAGAATGACGTGGCGTGACGTCACAGCCCGGCCCAATCTTAGCCGAGGATGACCTCACGTCAGTCACGTCACTTTTTTTCCCGTTCTCTTCCACGACAGACGGTGGACAAACCACAACGCTGCGCGCCGTACACCATCCAGCGGTCAGAGCTGTCTGGAAACGCAATGTAGTGACCTTCTGCCATGCATTCACGCTCGGCCAGTCGTCGCCAAGGGCGTCCGGGCTTTGCAAATTCCGTCCATGTCGATCAGAATGCAGCCAAAGCTTTTTAGCCCCTTTGCCCTTGCCCTTCCCTTGGACGGCCACACCGATGGCCAGCTGGGCGACGCTTTGCTGTGGGTGGGGGCACTCCTCCGCAGACGATATCGAGGACGACTACTTGGTGCGTGCATGACAGGACTTAGAAGGAGGCCCACTTACTTACCTCCGGCCCAGATCATCCCCAACGAGAGCGAGACCAGTCGTCTGTGGACGCCAGGCATCGCAGGGAGCACGGGCTATACGACGTATGTCTCCATTCGCAAGTTGTTTCGCTCACAGAGCTCATCGCCTGTAGGCCGGCCCCGCTCAGCGCTGAATCCAGACGATTCACAGATGATTCAGAGGAAGAGATCGTGGCGCGGTTGGGCTCGATAGTGAGGACGAAAGAAAAGTGCGTCTTGTCCAGCTTGAGGGCATCATTCCCATCTTCGTTCCCAGCAAAATGGTCAAGATTGGCCCGCGGCCAGCGTTCACCCTCCATCCCACAACGGTCGAGGACGGACAATTGGACACGACGACGACGCCGTCAAAGTCCCCCCTGCATAGCATGCCGTCCATCAGCTCGCTAGGAGGGACGCTACAGTTGCCATTTCCTCCCCCTCCCTCTCCTGCGACTCCTAGGGCGACCATGATCGTACACCATTCACACCTCCACGAGGCAGCGGAGTACGAGAAGAACGTCCCTCACTCGAAATTTCTCCCTCGCAGGCCGCCCATCCCCCCCGTTTTCACGCTTTCGCCCGCACCCGCCTATCCCTCGGCGCAAACTACACCGGCGGTATCGCGCTCGAGCTCGGTCAGCGGGTCACAGATGCTGCGAAGGAACCTGTCATCGGGTTCAAGGAAGGGATCGCGAGTGAGGGTTCGTGGGCGCATGTCCAGTGGAGGCTCCAGGGACTCGAAAACACACTCGGTGGAGGAAAGCGAAGAGGAAAATGAAGAGCGGGGTCGCATGGGGGGTCGGAGTTGCAACATCACCGAGGAACAGGCTGCCTCAGACGTGTCCGACGCCAGTGGGCTGACGTTCCGCGGAGTAAGTGATCTGTTTTGTCTGCGGGAGACGTTGCTGATATTTGCGCCTGGACAGCCCTCGACGCTGACGAGTGCGATGTCCGCAAAGCTTGCTCTTAACACCAGCACAACGGCAGTTGACCCAGCATCTGTGTCGCTCTCCAGTCCGGAAGGGTCTGAGCCCGACCATATGCAGAGTTCGTTGGTATTTACCTGGGGCGAATAAAAGTCCGTCATGGCCTAGTGTGTGTAATTGTATTGTACGTGCCATCTAACTTCTGTATGAAACAACAGTTTAATATCTACGTCTATCTCTATGGAATACATATAAATTGCCTACTTTATTCACGAAAGAATCACACTCAGACCAAAACTAGGACGCGTTTTCTGGGAACGGTCGTCCACAACAAGCCCAGAAGTACGAGCATTCCAATCACGCTGTCGTCTCGTCAGTAGCTGATTCATAAGCGGACACGACAACGCACAACGGCTCCAAACTCCCAATGCCCCTCTGGCCAGCAATAGCGCCGGTAACGAAAGGGAGCACGGCGGCGCCGGAGATCGAGATACCGGCGACCCAGGCGATGCTGGCGGTTAGTAGCTTCGGCGGGAGGATGCGTGCGGCGTGGTTCATGCCGATAGGGAACATCGGCCCGAGACATAGCCCGACGAGGGCAACTGAAATCGAGGAAAGCAGAAGCGAAGGGACGAGGTAGATGAGGAGCTCCAGTCTAAAGGGTTATCAGCCGCTTTCGACTCTGACACCATGATTACCCTATCGCGGTTGCGGTATAAACGTATACGGCGCGGACTTCTCCGATCTATATTCGACTATGAGGGGCTGGTCGTAGCACGGAAGGAAGAAACACTGACGAGTTTGTTAAGCGGTAGTAGGAGTACCCGACCGAGCATTAACCCTTTGTAACAATCAGTACTAAATAGTAGCACCTTTGGAAAAAACGACGGCTTACCGCCCCAGAATCCAGCAGAGATATAGCCCGAGCTTGACCCGCCATGGCGGACCGTAATCATGAACGAGACGATCCAACCTACATCGAATATTTCGGCAATGGTGCGGAAACAAAGGAAGGAATACGGACCTCCGATCGTAACTTCCGTGCCCACATACACGAACAGGAAGAGCGCGAGGAGGTGGACTGCCTTTATCGAAAGCATCTGCCGCAAGTAACTGGGCTCATCCACACCCTCCGCGGGTACGTGCTGCTCGCGCTGACCGATACTACTCAGACATTCTAGGATTGAACTCAGGGCAAGCGCCATAACAGTAACAAAACGCGGCCTACCTCTTTGGGTCTTGCCTCGGAAGACGACCGCGCAATGAACAGCGTTAAGCAGGTTCAGTCCGACGGTGATGATGTAGCTGTACGACCACTTTCCATGCGAGAGGCGGGTGAATTGAGTAGCGACGAGCGGGGAGACCAGAGCACCGGCACCGTAAGCCGCCTGGGTGATGCCCATTTTTGCTTCTGGGGCGGAGGAAAGCGATGCGACATAAGCGGTGGACTGTGCATTCTGTGTTGCAAGGCCGACTCCAGTGAGGAAGTTTCCCAGAACGAAGACGGGGAACGGAAGACCAAGGGCAGCGGATTGGAGAGAGTTACCAACGATTTGGAAGGCGGCGCCGACAATGAGAAGCTATGGAAACAGATAAGCAAGGATGTGTCAGGGGGAAATAACGCAAAGTTCGAGCACATACCTTTCCGAAGCCGTACTTTTCGGTCAACCCCATACTCCCAATGGCGCCCAGAATATATCCCTTTAAGTTGCGCATCTCAGTTGATTTGGACACGGTAAGAGAAATCAACTGACAGTGCATTTGAAGACGAAAAGCAGTGAAACGATGGTGTAGCTGAGCTAACAAAACGTCTGTCCGGCTTCCCAGTAGTGAATTATATAAGACTCACATGGTAAAACTCCTGAATCTTGGGTATCAACGGCCCCAGGCTCCCGTCGTTCCACCCGGACAAGAAGAGGGTCCCAGAAAGGGCAATGATCTGGTAGTGCTCCGACCACCGTTCAGCCCGGGTCCGCCTCGGCAAGCTAGGGCGAGGAAGAGACGGAAGAATGGCTTGATCGAGATTGATGCTCTTCTCCGAGGTGGGCGTGTCCATGCTCGTCTGAGAGGGAGGGCTGGTAGATGTGACCGTCGAGAGACTCTTTTATATCTTCTTCTGCATCGCGGTCGGTCATGTCGTTATCATTGCTGGCCGATAAGAATTGCGCGAAATGGTAAAAGGTTGATAGGCAACGAGGAAGGGCGGCCCTGGAGGCGATAAGTCATGCCAGAATTCGACCACAGAAGCCACCTATCACCCTGCCCAATGATCCGTCCGACAGCCTTGCACAATATATCGGTCGTCGGCGGAGTGGGCCGCCCTCATCCGCTGTCGGCTCAAAGTAAGAGCTCCAAATTGATCAGGGAAGCGGCAAAGGCGAGGCGTATCTAGCTTTTTCTCGCACGTTCGGCCACGGAAATGAAAGAACGTGGCTCGGCCGCTGGCGAAGGTCGTGTCTGACTCATTCGTGTGGCAGCAATACGTTCCGCTGTCTAGAAGCCCGCTGAAGGCTTGAGTCGCCAAACGAGGATGGGGGAAGAAGAAGAAGAAGAAAAACGTGTTGATTGACGGCGTGTGACATTATAGCATCAATATGGTAGTCAGGAAATAACTCTCCTCACAACTCCTTAATAAAGTCGTCCCAGTCAACTTCCATCTGATCCAACCGTTCGCTCGGAACAGGAAGCACACGTGTTTCATCCGTGAAAACGGGGAGATTGGTGGCAGCATTCCTCTGTAGCCCAGTATTGTCGACATACCCTTTCATAGCTTTATCGCGAAGCTTTTGAAGCATTTCCTAAGCGGGGTCGATTTATCAGACTCGTTTGGACGCGTAAATTTTGAGAAGAAAGTTCACCAATCCGCTTTTCACACGGGGCGATTCGGAGGCGCTTGTGCCGCGTTCAAAGAGGTCGATGGCAGCGAGTAGTTGAAGGAGGGCCTGGGGCCCATATGCGCTCTTGAACGATTTCGCTGCAACAGTGCCAACGATGACCTAATAGACTGTATATGCGCGATATTTTGTGCAATGGCATCCACTTACACCGGCATTGAACACTATAAGTTCGACATAAGACCGTAATGCAGACGGGCTAGCAAATAACTTACTGCAGTTCCAAACAGGCCACCAACGGCCGTAGAGCAAGGGGTGGGCGGCGAAGTGGTGTCCGTGTTCTCTGATGAGGTCTCCCGCATATCTATACGCCGACAGGAACGACGTGGAAAAGGACGTCTCCCAGGGTGCGTCGGGATTTTGTCTCACCGCACGAATAAAGGGTCGACTGTGGATATAAAGCAAAGCTGTAGATCGTAAGGATTAGTCGGGTCGTTGACGTAAACAAGGAAAATTGACTTGAAAGGCACGAATCCCTCATCCCGCGTTGCTGAAAGGCCCCGGTTGGAGTATCCTGTGCTGATCCTTCGAGCGCAATGGGTGTTGTACAAAATGGGGACTCAAGAAAGCGTCGAACGCGTTCGTCTAGATCAAGGATGTCTTCGTAGCGAGAGGTGCCCGATGAAACACGCAGCATGGTCTCAAGTGTGGGCGCTCCGATCTGCTTGGAGAATTGCCAAAGCCGTCGGATGACTAGATAAATTGTCAGCGAGATGGGCCTTTCAGCTCTGCGAGGACGCACAAACAGTGTCAGGTATGTCAGGCAAAGGACACTTGATCGTATCGAGAAAAATGAAGTTAGGTCGGCCCAACGCCATGCATTGATAGGACCCAATGGCGAAGGTCTGCCAGAAAAGGCTCTATAACGACGCTTAACTATGAACACAAAGCGTAATGAGACTCAACTCTATAGCGTAGCGTCTCAAGGTTGGTGCAGGCTTCTTGTGCCGTATCTGAAAGAGATAAGCATACCTCGGAAGCACAATCTCCACAGACATACGAAATTTTAGCTAGGACGACGTTAACCAACGCAGAGGAGGTATATATGTGACTGAACGTACTCGCAAACAGGTGTTTCCTGCCAGCATGATCGCCGTCCACGCAGCTTCCAGCGAAAATTTTTTCCCGCCATGCCAATAGAATAACGACGTTAGCACCAGCCCTTGAATGGTGACATAGCCAGCTTCAAGCGCGGATTCATCAAAGATGGTTTGGCTGTTAATGCCGAGCGCAGCGCAGCTCAAGTCAAAGTAAAGATTGGCGTCAAAGCTATCAGCGGGAAGAGCCAAATCAACGAGCGAGGCGAGTGCGAAGACTCCAAAGAGCACACTGAGGTGGTGGATACTCATCTTGGCGCCTGGAGGTGCGATACCCGACGAGGCCGACTTGGATGCGTCGCCGTAGGCCAAGAGGAGGAGTTCGGCCAGTTCTTCCCGGTCTATAGGAGTCCCGCTCCAGCAGCCATTATCGAAGTATGTTTTCACAAGATGCTCTGCGCGGGAGAACGAGGGGAGAAAATTGAGGAGATAGGTCAGCGATACAATGGGATTCGCAGCTGTCCTGATGAGGATGTCGACACCAGGCGGGCGGTGCTGACCATTTGGGTCCGGTGAGGGACTGCGCTTCTTATGCCCAAGCTACTTGAGTCAGTAATACCCCGCCAGCATTGACTGTTCCTTACCGATAACATTGCCTCAAGAAAGATCAATAGGTAATACTATGATAGGGGCGCCGCGGCAACGCACCTCGCTGACACCAGTTGGCCCGAAGTAGTTCTCCGTAGCATCCCTTTTGAGGCTCAGATCTCCCATTATTGTCTGGATCTCGCTTAAGATTTCGTCGTTGTGGTCCTCCTCCTCCGCCTGGGTCGTTTTCCCGGAAGCTAGATACGGACAGGTACTCAGTGGTGATTCATTTAGCCGAGTAACCTCTTCTTCAAGGATCCGAGCGCGTTCAGTCATATCGCCCAGAGCTTTCTGGAGGCGAGAAGCCTTTGTCGGAACTGCTCTGGGAGGCGTAAGCAGACGAACGGCGTGCAAACAGCGGAACCAAAGTTACCTATTGCCCCGTCCAGTGGGCAAAAACTCTCCTGCAAGTGTGTTAGAAATGCAGCTGGTCAAGACTTTGGGAGATTTACCCGTGGGGCAGAAGTCCGCACAGCCTCGTCGAGCTACATGGTCCCTGTAAAAAGAGCGGGGCTCCACATGGAGACCAGGGACTTACTGCACGAATCGCATGGTATGTTTTTATCGCATTTCAGTTTTGAGCTGCGTACAGTCAGTTCCAGTTATATTCAGCCTTCAATGGTGACGCACCGTCGACATTCCGCACATGAAAGCTGCACAGAAAGAAGTTTTGACTCATGAGCAACCGTCAACGCCTAATAGGAGAATCTTGCCTTGCCGCGTAGCCTTTTGAGGGTCATGTTATCCTTCTCCGCGAGCCCGCTCTGGCGGGGCGCGCTTTGAGGGAGGACAGAGCTCTGCTGGGCCATGAGTGTCAGAAAAGAAGAATGTGATCGCCGGTCACACTGTGATCACCGGTGATTGTCACTCCGGATACATATATATTTGCAATTGCTGTCTGGCGCTAACTTTTGATTATTATGGGGGTCGCAAGCTCCCCACATTTCTGACCTGAGGTACTGACCCTTCTCCGTAGGAGTCGCGGAGGAACTCCAAGTCGATGGTAGTCAGAAATTGGTCAGCAGCCTGCGCGGCGGCGCAGTGCGCATCGTGTGCTACGTGTACATTTGTCGGGCGTGTGACTAACGGATCCGGACGTGCCAAGCCGACCGATCGTGATGGTTTGATCGCCGCCCACGTCCACAGACATCACAGCGGGGTTGTCGGGGGCCCTCGGGCTATGATCCACGCCCGTTAACGTTGATGCCATTCCGGCACGCGACCAAAAGCGAGCTCTCCATTTAGCGCCCCCCCTCTCGGGCGGACATAAACTTATCATACTAGAACAATTTTCCATAAAAACCAAGGTGAGACGAACATAAATAGTCATAAGTTTATCGATAGCATAGTGGATTATCGAGGAAGGTAGATTACCAGCACAGGGTGTAACCACGGAGTTGACAAAGTTGAAACAGCGCATAACACAAGAGACCGAGCATAATTGGGCGGAGGAACAGTCCGACCAGGGCGACAGCCGTGAATACAAAGAGCAGCAATTGGACAATGAGACCGAGGATGATGGGATGGTACCACCGCGCCGTGTAAACTTCGGGCTCTTCTGACGGAGAGTCCGAGGGAGATGAGAAAACGTCTTCGTCGTCTGAGTCCAAAAGCGGAGATGGTGGCGGGGAGAACCACGCGCCGGTAGACTGTGAAGGCCAGCGAAAAGATCGCGGATCTTCGAGAGGGACATAAGAGTAGCGTGGCGACTGCGGACCGCGTGCCACGGCGGGCGTTTCGGAGACAGGCATCGGGTCTGGAAGTGGCGGGACGTACCACGACGCGCCAGGGAAAGGTTCCCTGTCAGACGCTGGCGCGCGATGACTGTCCATGATTGCCTGAGCATCGTCTGCGGTGATCGTTTGCAGCATCGCAGCGCGTTTAAAGGCAGTTTCAAGCAAGGAATGATTCGGGTCAGCGGACTGCCAAAGTAGGTCCAGTAAGTAGTGGATTTTTAAAAAGGAAGGTGACTCACTGGCTTAAAAGGCCGCCGCGAGGCTTTTACTATTTCCGCAGATCGAGACTTCACGGGTTCAAGAACGACGGAAGTTGACGCCGGGATGGGAGGCATGCTGGCGGTACTATCCCGCTTGAACAATTTCGGCCGCTTTGGCAGGGGCAGCGAAGTCGTCGAGTTCTGCACAGCCTTCCACAGCCGTTTCGGGGAGAGACCGAGCGGAGACAGCGGACTGCGTGGGGAAGCAGAGGAAGGGGACTCCATCCCCGACTTCAAGTTTGAACCAGACAGTCTCGGGATGATGATTTTGAGCCCACGGCTGGCACGACGGTGCCAAGTCCGAGCGGGAGACGGCGATGGTGGAGTAGAAGGACCAGAAGAGGACGGGGCAAACAGTAGACTGGAAGTCGAGTCTGTTGATGGGGTAAACGGGACGGGTCGCGGAATCGTCGGCGTTGTCTGCACAGTTTCAATAATCCAAGGCATTGACATGAGGAGAAAACACACTGGAGGAGTAGGATCAATAACCTCGTCCGCATTTCGGTCCGCAAAATCGTCGTCTGGGGCGAGCAACCCTGCAGAAACAAGCCACTTGTCCACCTTCTATAGTCAACCAACGTCAATATGTTGAACGGGACGGAAGATCAAAAATGACACACCTTTTGTGCTGCGTTAGGCCCATGACCATTCTCCTTGTTCTCGCGCCAAAACTCGCGGCCGTGCTCGTACGAGTCTGCGATCATCTTTTGCAATAGCAGCGTCGTCGTCGCCTCTATCAGCCCTTCCTCGGTATACAGCGGCGGCTGGAGCAAGCGATTAGCTGATGCTTAACCGCGAGGAACGATCTGACTCACTGGTGGAATGTACACCGCGCGCTCAGTGACGATCTTCATCTCCCGTTTGGGTTTGACAGCCTCGCGGCGGCGTCTACGCGTTGTTGGGCTCTTCGCAGAGCCCGGTGCAGCAGCAGCAAGAGATGGCATGGTGGTAGTGCGTATTGACGTCGGAGGCGTGGTCAGGGAAGGAGAATTCGTGGTCGAAGTTGGGACACAGGGAAGAAACAGCAATATGTGGCATTGTCCCCTGCAACCCCCAGCTTATACCCCTCCGGCGAATGCGGGCCTAAGCATCGACGGACTTGCCATATCCGGAAAGCTTCTATGGACAATGCGTGCTTGCTTTGTCTGTGCCGGTCAATGCACACTCTGGAATGCCGGACGTGCTAACAACGAGGCGTGTCGGGTGATTTCGGGTGGAGCGGGCGTACCGCCGCCTGATGACAGGTTGGCCGAATGGACCAGGACTGTAGACAGTGGCAAGGGATGCTCGACATGAGTGGCATAGGCAAGGAAAAACGTCATGTCACTGATCGGCTGATTGCACAGCCCTTCGGACTGATAACGGCGAAAGCATCGGACTTTTCGGCTGAGGTGTAAAGTGAAGATCAGATCCGGCTGCCCTGGCAACTAACATTAGCCAGCGTCAAGCCGAATGACAGAATTTCAACGTTTTCTGAATTGTTTCTGAACGTATCCGCTCCACCGTGACTATTCGACAACTATTCGCTCCACCGTGACGGCAGCCTCGGAGCTCGGCAGCTTGCCAGTGTCCTGTTACGATGCCAGTGTCGGTGCTGGAGTTGCTTTGGCCCTAGTAGACTGCTAGATGCGCGAAAATACAAAGGGTTTCAAAAGGCTGAGGTTCAACCTCAGCCTTTTTCGCAACGGCGGCAACGCAAACCCCGACTACAATGAGGCCCGGCGTGGGCCCAACACCCGTCACCCGGCCGGGATCTTCCCGTCGCCTGCGCCAACTAAAACGCGGGTGGAATGGAAGTCGCGAAGCGAAGCGCTAAGTTCAGTGCTCCTTGAGTGCTCCACAAAATCATTGGTCGCTTCGCTGGTTTACGCGCCGTATAAAAGACCCTGCCCGCGGTCACGGTCGTGTTCTCCCGTCCTGCTCTCCCACCTTCGTTTGGTACCACCACGACTCTCATTCCTCACGATGCAGCTCTCCGCCATGCTCGCCTCTGCTTTCCTTCTCCTGGGCGCCTCGACTGGCGCTGTACCCGCCCCCCGCCGCCGGCCCCGCCCCATCACCGACGGCACTCCATCAGCTCGACGTCTGGGTGCCACGCATTACTTTCCCCACCGCTGGCGCCATCCTCGCCGCCAACTCGCAGGTCAACGTCACATGGTGCGCAATTGAACGGCTCTCTTATATCTAAAATTTAACCACCATTCGGCAGGACGACAGTAAATGCGCCACAGAACATCTCGAACCGTGCAATGCTTCTGCTTGGCCACACCGGCGGCAACTATCCATGTGCGTCGTGACCCCTCTTTGGAACTGTTTAACCTGCCCACAGTCATCCTCGCTAAGGACTTCGACCTCCGCGCCGGGTTTGTCACTGTCGCCGTGCCGTATGTTTTCACCGGCACCGCCTACACCTTCGTCCGTGCGTGCTGTCTTTCCGGCTATTACCAGCTTGCTGATGCTCACCTGCAACAGTTTTCGGCGACTCGGGCAACGCGAGCCCGCCGTTCACGATCGAGAGCGATGTGCTTTAACTGAAGAGGGACGAACAGTTTTTTCGTAGACAATGGACAATGGACACTTGAATACATTCATGCATTTACCTTCACCACTCGCGCAGCGCACCGTCGGGCCCCCTCCCTACTTATAATCAGCGACGCTCACAATAAGACCCATTACGACACGCACAAACCGGGTTTCGCCACGCGTTCACTTCGCCGGCCCTAAACTTGCCATCCTCTGCTCTGACCCGCTTCTCGTCGATGTCGATGCCGAGCCCCGGGCGGCTCAGCCCCGCGACGTCGACCATGCCATCGCGAACCGCAAATGCGGCGGGGTTGCGGATGTACGTCAGCAGGTCGTGTTCCGCGGAGTTGTAGTGAATCTAACGCAGAGTTAACGTCGGTAGTTCACAGTAGAGAAACCCCGCCTTCCAGCTCATCTCGCAGATGACAAAGTTCGGCGTCGCGAAGGCGAGCTGCAAGCAGGCCGCGAGCGCGATGGGGCCGAGCGGGCAGTGCGGCGCGAGCCCGATGTCGTATGTTCTGTAACCCATTGATCCCCCCAAATAAATGAACAAAACTGGTCACATACTCAGCCATGTTTGCAATCCGCCGCACCTCGCTGATGCCACCCGCATGCGCGACATCTGGTTGTACGATATCAACGCAGCCCGCCTCAAAGTATGGGCGGAACTCCTGTCGCGTGAAGAGCCGTTCGCCGAGCTGACATAGGTTGTCAGGCTCAATTTGAAAATGCCTGACTCACTGCGATGGGGATGGTCGTGCTCGCAGCGAGAGCCTGGATCTCCTGTGGCTGACCAGGAAGAAGCGGCTCTTCGATGAACAGTGGACGGTGCGGCTCAAGCGCTTTGGCAAGTTGTTTCGCGAGGGGACGGTGCACGCGACCGTGGAAGTCTCTTGAAAGCCTTGAGTAATAGAAAGCAGACAATGAGCACACTCACAGGCCAACGTCAATCCCGATACTCTTGACCTCCTTCACCCGTTCCACCACAGCGTCGACGATGTCTGGAGAGGCGAGCCAGTCAACCTGTTCCACGTTAATGATGACCCCAAAGGCGTCTGACCATACATCTTCGACTGCATTCATCTTCACAGCTGTAAACCCCTCGGCCTTCCGCGCGACAGCCTGCGCTAGCACGTCGCTGGGCTTGTCTCCACCGATCCACCCATAGCAACGACATTTGTCGCGGCTGAAGGAGGTTTCGGTGTTTTCAGCAAGGAGGACCATATACGCACACTTTCCCGCCAAGCAGCTGCCACACTGGTACGCCGAGCGTCTTGCCCTTGATGTCCCACAGCGCAATGTCCAGGCTGGTATGGGTCAGTCTGTGAGCAGGCATGAGGCCCAGACACACCCAGATATCGCGCTCATCATAACCGGCCCGCCACGGTAAAAGCGCAGTCGATATGCCGTCTGCCAGATGTCCTCGATCGCCGCGCTGTCCCACCCAATGAATCGCTCGCGGAGGTCCGTGAAGACGCCCTCCACGGCTTCGGTGTGCCCTTAATGAGTGATATCGTCCAGAGAGCTCTAGAGGGCATAATTGGAGAAGTCTCACCTTCGAGTGTAGCCTCGCCCCAGCCAACAACTCCGCTTTCTGTCTCCACGCGCACAAATAGCCATCGGGGGCGCACATAGAACGTCTCTATCGTCTTAATCGCATTGGCGCCGGGCGAGTGCAGGCCGGTCGGGAACTCCGCCATGGTGGAAGTGAGCAAGAAGCGCAGCGGCTGCCGGTCCGGATATTCTATGTTGATATGTTGATGCGCACCACGTGCTATTTCTCGGCGGACTCGGAGATACGGATGTTGTACGGATGTAGCACGATGCCCAGAGAATGATGCGGCTTGCGGTGGATCCGGCTTCGTAAGAGCGTGATGTCCCTGGCTGAAACAGCGGAGCCTTTCTGCTGAGTTCCTTGTACTAGTACCAGCCCACCCGTTCCCCATAGCACTACCATCTACCACACGCAACCTTATCAAGGTCGCGGACACCGTCTCCGCATCGCCGAGGCCCGACTCGAGGGTCGACAGATTTCGTGCCTGCCGCCCATCAGCGTTAGGTAAACCAACACAAATTGGACAGGTCCGTGGCGGTGCCTGCCGTCGATTGTGATCCGACCATCGCGAAAACGCATGGCGTCGTCAGTGGTCCCTTCTTTTTCGCCTCCCACTTAGCCCTCCCCTCCTTACGACCACGACAGCGGATGCCCCACCGATGAGCGAGGCGGGGTCGGTTGCCATCCAGCACCAGCTGTGCGTTATACCCTTTCCTGTGACTGCCCTGCTGACCTGGATGGGGCCCCAGAAACGCCAACTACTACCTCAATACTGCCTCCTTCAGTGCCCCATCTCTCCCACTCTCAGCTAATCTACTCACTCTCAGCACAGCGCTCCTCTTCTACGACTACCTCCTCACCCTGCCGTTGGAGACCGCGCGGTTTTGGCCCGCAGCCAGCAGGCACCGTGTCTCAGCGGTGAACGTGCTGTTCTTTGTGAACCGCTACGGCACCCTCTTCGGGAATATCCCGGTAGTAATGCAGTATTTCTGGACCGGGCGGCCGAGCGCAGTCAAACTATCCGTGTGTCTTCTCCCAGCGTAACAGCCCCCGCTTGACCTTTCTTAGACGTGAGTAGCTTCCACTGCGCGCTCTGTATGTGAGCCCATCTCATGCACAGTTGCATCTCCCTCCACACCTACCACCAGTACTTTGCCGTCGTCACACAGATCATCATTGGCAGTGCGTTGGCTCCCATCGTTCCCCTATTACCGCCGCTGATGTTGTCCGTAGTAATGCTTATCCTCCGCACCTACGCGCTTTACGAGCGCAATCGCCGCGTTCTGACGCTCATGGTCTGCGTGGCAGCCGCAGTCATCGCAGTCGGTGCCGTCCGTCCCGTCTCTTCCACACAAATGACTTGCTGACATTCACCAGTGGGCCGTGCTTGCGCCAACCCACGTCCCCGAAGACGCACCGCGGATATCGCTCTACATCGGGTGCTTCTCTGCCGTGAATGAGTCCCAGTGCGCAATCTTGTGTTCTTTCTGATTTTCTCTGAGACCCAACAGAACGACCCGGCTGGCGATTGCGTGGGGCGGTATGGGCGTGTTCGACAGCATGATCTTCCTGCTCACGCTCTACCGTGCGCTCAGCCGGCACATCGGCCGCGGCGGGGGGGCAGGGGGAGCGAACTGGTCGGAGTGCTTTTACGCGACGGTATGGCGCATGCGGTCCTAAAGCTGTTGTTGCTGATTGGCGACACAGGATCGATATACTTTGGGTAAGTCGGCTGCCCCAGCGGGATCAACTCACGGAGTTGGCTCTAGTGTGATACTGCTGTCAACGATCTCCAACATTCTGACCTTTGTAGTACGTGTCAATCTCCCCGTAAACTGACATCCCACCGACCTCCCTTTTCAGCTTGCCGCCGTACGCCCCCTTTACCTTCCCCGCTTACTCCCTTCCAACCCCGCACACAGCCTGTCACCCGGGGCCTGCCCACGACCTTCACCAACGTGTCCGTCCTCTCCCTTCCTCCCGCTGCCCCTGGGTGACCCATTCTGTCTAGCATTTCCTCGATCATGATCTCCCGCCTGATGCTCAACCTCCGCGACCCGGCACTCGCGAGCATGTCCGGCCGCGGCGGCAGTACCTCGCGGACACAGACGTTCACGGCCCCCGACTCGGTGGGTATGTTTTCCACGTACGTCAGCGAGGGCGAACATGAACGGGGGGTGTCTGCGGTTGAGCTGCAGGCGCGCGGACGGAGGACTGCCAGGAGCACCTTGGGTTCGGATGCATAACATTATAGAGAAGTTGTATTGTATGACGAGGGTATATATGACGGTTTGAGGCTTTGTCAGATGGCACCGCTTTAGTTAAGACTACAAAATAGGGGGGAATGCCCCAGAAAGGAAAGAAGTGAAGGAGAGAAAGGAGGATTATCTATGTAGGACTTAATCTAGACTTCCAGTAGTGCATTCAGTTGTAAAGCAATGATACACACGATTACACAGTATTGCTCTTTTTCCATAGCTCTGCATCAGGAAAAAAAAATAAACCAGGTCCACTATGTCTTACTACATGTGCTATATAGCTAATATATTCTCACAAGGGCCTCTGGCGCCTGCGCTTGAGACTGAGACCTTGCTTTCCTTTATATGCATTTTTGTCAGTGATCTGGCTTGTCAGTACAGATGGGTTAATGTTCCAACCAGGCAATGATGGTAATGAGCAGCCAATATGACCACTATATGCATAATAACATATGGGCCCCATAAATTCATTTTCATACACAATAGTCTTGCAACATATGAGAATCTCAGTTAAACAAGTTAAAACAACATCCTAAATTCAACTGATATCAATAAGAACATCTAGATCTGTTAGCTGTTTCCTGTAGCTCGAACTCTGAACACAAACCGCACAAAATCAGGATTTGGTTAGTTCAGTTGAAGGTCCTGGTGATCTCCTTGATTGCTCATTTTCTACATGTATTAATGGGTAATATTGTAAAATTGTCAGATTGTCAGGGGAAGCTCCCTTTCAGCCCCTAAAAGACGACTCTGATTCTGATCGGGCTCCGGTCTCGACTCCAGTCTGGCCCTCCATCTTGCCCGCACAATCACTGATTCATCAACGCCCTCCTGACGGTCCTAGTAGTGATGTCTAGGGCCGGGCTGCCCTGCCAAGCCCTGTTTAGGACCGGGCTTCCCAGGGCTCGGGCTTGGGAGGAAGCCGAGCCCCGGCCCTCGGCTAAGGCGGGGCTTCGAGGGCTTGGGGCCTGAAGCTGTCAAGCCCCACCTCTTAATGCAGGAGGGCTTTGGCGACCCAAAGCCCGAGCCCTAGGCAAAAGGTGTCAGATCTGCCATCGGGCAACACAGTCTCACGACCCCCCCCCCCCCAAAAAAAGGGGGATGTAGCTCCACAGGTTGTTTACGACAGGTTGTCGACTTGTTGTCGACGCAATGCCGACGACCAGCTTCAACCCATCAATGTCCTCACTTCACGTGCCTTGTCGCCCGAGTGCGCATCAAGGCGCGCAACAACGCCTTGAATCCGCCCTACTTACACTGTCCAAACATTTCTGCCCTCGCGTCTCAGACCGCTCAGCCGCTCTTCATGCATTCAAAGCTGCCATTGTGTCACCCTACATGTGAGAACCATAAGATTACCTGCCGCGAGTCGCAACCCATGTTGCGCGCAAGTCGTGCGACACGTTGACTGTCGTTGCTCATCGTGAGTCCGAGTCGGGAGGCCGAGGCCCGTCACTCTGCCGGTGACACATGCCGTGCAGGGCGGTGCCCATCACCCCAAGGGGGTTATATCCACGGTGCTGCCCAATGGCAGATCTGACACCTCTTGGCCCCAGGCCCTGGCAAGCCCCACCCCAGGGCCGGGCCTGGGCCGGGCCGGGCTTCAGGGCTCGGGCCCGGCCCTAGTCAACACTAGGTCCCAGGGCGACGGTTGCCCTGGGACCAAGTTGCCTGCGACGCCACCCAGGCCTTCTGTGCCCGACAGTGGCAGCTGCGGACAAGCAGTATATAGTCAGCTCCCCAGCAGGCAGACCCTTAGAGTTTCTTCTCTTTAGATCCTCCCCTGCTAGGACCTTGATCTCAGACCTTCGGGGCAAGGGGGGTTCAAGTCTCAAATCATGGATATAGTGTCGGAAAGTTTTTTTCCAACCCCCAGGGGACCCCTCCTGCCATACCGGGTAATATGTTCCCACGATTCGCATCATGTGACCACTGATGTGATCAAAAAAAAAAAGTGGGATAAAAAATTCAATCTTTGTGAAACTTTTTTTTTGCAAATTTTTTTATATATGTGTATGTGTATATGTATATGTATGTATGTGCCTGGAACCTTCAAACACACATGGCAGGCTATATCAACTCTTTAACATGTTCACCTCTCATTAATTACCTATCCATGGACCTATAACAGAGTGGGCTATCCAAGCTCATGGGCCTGAAAGTATATAGATATAAGTATGAGGGTTGTGAACTCTAGAAATTGGAGTGTATACACTATATTTTCAGTGTCTTTACACCCATATAAGGCCCAAATATTCATATAAAAAAAGTTTTTTGTACCCCCTGGGACCCCCCCCCTGCCCCCTACCCCATGTGCCTGATAAGGATCTTGAACCCCCCCTTGCTCCGGATATGCCCTTACAGCAGAAGAAACTCTCTACAGGATCAATCAGACAAGATTGCCAGGTTTGGCGCTGACTCAGGCTCGGAGTACGAGTCCGGCCCGCCCTTGTCACCACCCCTGCCACTTGTCCCCTCCTCCTCCTCCGCTCCTGTGGTCCCCGCACCCGTCATGCCATCTGAAGTCACTCCCACCACAGATGCCCGGTGGGACTCACTCAAGGCAAAAAATCGACAGCCTAACTGAGGCCCTTGCTTTACTCACCAACCAGGCTTCCGCTGCCGCTGCCACCGCTAATAATGTTGGTGTGCCCCAAACACCATCACCGGAGACATCGATTCCGACTCCAACTCCAGTCCAGGGCAACTCCGAAGCCCTCTTTGGCGACATCAACCTTGCCTCAAAATTGGTCTTCCAACCAAACCCCCCTGTTCCCCATCATGTCTTCCACTTCTCCGGCCATGATGACAAGTTTTGCAACAATCACTGTCTCCCTATTCTCTTCTCCAAAAGGACTTCACAAACAATCTCGCGGTGCTTGCGGAGGTCTGAATGCGCGATGAGGATGTCGTCGAGGTAGATCATAATGTCCCCTGAAAGGATGAGATCCTGGAAAATGTCATTCATCATTGTTTGGAACGTCGCGGGGGAGTTTGTCAGGCCGAAATACATCACCAAAGGTTCAAACAACCCTCGGTTAGTCCGAAAGGCCGCCTTCCACTCGTCTCCTTCTTTAATCCTGACGTTATTAAAGCCCCAGCGAACATCGAGTTTGGTGAAGTAACGGGCATCCTTAAGTCTGTTGATAAGGTCATTAATCAACGGAAGGGGGTACCGGTTCTTAATCATCATTGCGTTGAGGGCGCGGTAGTCCTGGACAAACCGAAGTCCTCTGTCCTTCTTCTTAACGAAGAAGACGGGGGAAGCCATCGGAGATTTCGAAGGGCGGATACGGCCTGTGGCAAGTCCTTCCTCGATGAACTCGTCAAGTTCGCGCTGTTCGAGGGGGGAGATCGGATACACCTTGCAATTAGCGGGCTTCGCGTTGGGGGACAAGTTTGATAGCATGGTCCCAGGCCCTTTGCTCAGGTAACATGTCGAAGGACTCCTTGTCGAAGACATCTTGGAACTCCTTGGCCCAATCCGGGATCTCCGAAGGTGGGGGAGCCGAGTTACGTGCAAAAGCTTCGGCAAGGCGTTGGGACACTGTGCTCCCAGCGCGGATCTCCTCGACTGGGCGAAAAGAGGTGTAGAAGATGCGGTCGCCGTCTTCAAGATTCTCGTCGTCGTCGAGATCTGGTGAGCGCTCCGGAGGGTCCGAAAGAGCTCCGAAGTTCGTCGTTGGCATCGTCTGGGCCAGCGATATCGATAGCGCAAACGGTGGGGAAGGCGCCCGCAAGCAAGCGCGATTTAAGGAGTCGGAGGCGCCGAACCTCAGCGCGCTCGGTCCGTTCCTCGTCGCGGCAGGTGGAGCAGCTTCGGGGGCAGCGGCTCATTTTCACCTCCTTTGTTCCCCAGTTGATCTCGGGGTTATGCCTTTTGAGCCAGGAGTACCCGAGTATCAAGTCCTGTTTCCCAAGGTGGGTTACAGCCAGCTGAACGCGTTCGGAGTGTCCGTTGTACCGTAGGACCAGGTCCGCGATTTGGCGAATAGACCCAGCATCATTGGGGGTGCCGTCGACATTGTAGACCGGTATGGGTACTGAGAGATTTCGGACTGGCACGTTGTTTCGGTTGACGTATTCTGTGTCGATAAAGTCCGAAGTGGCTCCGCAGTCGACCAGACCTGAGAGGGAGAGCTTGAGCGGTTCGCAGTGGACTCAAGCTCAAGAGGAAGGTGGAGCAAGTTAACCCCAGGAGCGGCAGAGATGGTATAGCTGCTAGGTAGCTTTTTCTCCCAGGCAAGTCGGCGAATCCGAACGGGGGCTTCGGAGGGGGCAGGGGGGCGTCTTTCGTTTCAGGCTCGTTGTAGGGCAAGGGAGTTGATTCATCATACAAACAAGTGAAACGATTTATGGACGCAAACGAGGGCACACCAGTCACTCGTCGCGGGGACAAAATCCTCTGCCGGAGCCTCCGAATGCGCCTCTGCTAAGGCCGCGGTGTCGGACAACCGCGCAAGCAGCTCTCCCAGCATCTCATCGCCAAGTTGCTGGATCACCTCGTCGAGGATGTCCATATGGCGAACATCGGCGGGGAGCGGACAGTCCCGAGCCAAGTGATTGGGGTCGCCACATCTGAAGCAGGCTCGACGAGGGGCGCCCCGAGCCCTAGTACGATCCAACTCCATGGGGACAGGAGCCGGAGGTACCGAGACGGGGGTGCGGGCCACGGGTGGCGCGGGTGCGGCCACCGGGCGGATGGGGAACGGCGTTGCCGAACGGGCGATAGGGAATGTGCCACGCGGAGCCCCCGAAGGCGTCTGCGGGGTGGTCCCTTTGATGAGCTTCGCCCGCACCAAGGCTTCGTATTGGCGGAAAGCCCGAGTGCGCCAGCCCAAATAGTCACAGAGGTCTGGGGGGTCGTTCGAGGACGTGATGCCGTTGTTGACCAGGGGGTCAAGTCCATAGCCGTACTTGGTCACCTTAACCAACACGTCTTCGAATCCGGCGAGGTCCATCAGGTCCTCGAAGTCATCGGTGTATCCGTAGACATCCCGCGTTCCCATGTGATAACCCGTGCTCTCCAACTTGGCAAGCGCAAGGTCCTGCTCGTTCTCCTCAACGAACCGAAGGCGAAACTCGGAGAGGAATAGGTTCCACCGAGGGAAGGGGAAGGGGGTTTTGCTCCCATGACGCTCTGCCCACTGCTGAGCAGGCCCCTCCGCCATATAGGACATGGCGTAGCGGACGGCCTTTTCTTCGCTCGGCTCTCCGTTGACCACGAAGGCCTCCGGGGCAAGCTGGGCGTAAGTCTTGACCGCGTATAGGAAGGCGCGGCCCGCGTTTCCGATCTCCGTTAAACGCAAATGGGGGGTTTGGTCGTAAGACCAGTTTTGAGGCGACAGTAATGTCACCAAATAACGCATCCGCGAAGGTGGTGCGGCAGCGGAAGCCTGGGAAGCAAGGTGGGTGAGGACAAGTGCGTCCATGCGCGCGTCAGCGTCCGGAGCAGCTCCGGTAGACATAGCGGGCGTAAGGACGACAAGAGCAGAGGAGGAGGGGTCAAGTGGCAGGGGCGGTAACGAGGGGGGTACGGACTCGTAATCCGAGCCTGAATCAGCGCCAAACCTGGCAATCTTGACCGGTTAATCCCGTAGAGAGTTTCTTCTGCTGTAAGGGCAACCCTGGAGACTCTGACGAAAGCCTAGCAGGGGAGGATCCAAAGCGTGAATAAAAGCTACGGAAATACACGGAGGGACCGACCTAGCAGGGGAGGATCCAAAGAGAAGAAACTCTAAGGGTCCGCCTGCTAGGGCGCCAACTATATACTGGTCGTCCGTAACTGCCGACGTAGAGCGCAGAAGGCCTGAGCGGCGTCGCAGGCTCTGTCCCAAGGTGATCGTTGGGAGGGTCTTGACGGATCGGTGATTGTGTGGGCGAAGGAGGCCGTGGACGATGGTCGGGGTGGGTCGGAGCGTCCGAGGGGGCGCCGGTCGGATGTGCCTTGGATGTGTTCGGAGGGTCCGAAGGAGGCCGAAGCGGGGGTTAGTCAGTGAAAACGAAGATGGCATGTCCATCAGGAATCTCATGGGAGTGAAGGAATGGTGGGTGAGAAGTGAGTGTGATGTCCGGCCGTTCAGTGTAGCCAAGCTTGGGCTTTTGCTACTTTCCTATAGCTCAGAAACACATCGAGACATGAAGAAAAGAGGGCGAGAAGAAAGGCAATATATTATGACAGCTCGATCAAACTTGTGTTACAAAAATCAAAACTCGCATTTGAGTTTCATCCGAACGGACTCTTATGGTGGCCTAATTTTACTACAGATTGGTCTGAAATCAATGACAGTTTCTGTATTTTGCTTTTTTCCGGTGTGGCTGAATATGCTGAATTTCATCGGCGGTCACACAGATTACCAGGTGGCATCAAAATTTCAATTTTGGCACCAATGTCACGTGATTGTTCAATGCCAAATTAAATAAATTGTTACAGCATACACCCTCATTTGTGTATACCCATTGACAAGCCTTGTACGTCACAAGTCACACTTTGTCACAAGGTTTGATTTCCCACTTTAGTTTCCACTTGCATTTCTAGTTGTCATTTTCCTATTTTAGTTCCACCTCCTACCTCATTTTCCATTTGATTTTAGTTTCTATTACATTTAGCCCTTATTTATTTAGTCAATAAAATCCTGTCCATAGTCAGTAGTTAGTATCATATCTGCTCCCCCCCCTTTCCCTTCTGAGTTTGAGTTCTCTCTCAAGTTCTTGAGTTCTTGGTGTTGAGTTTCCTGAGGAGTTTGTCAGCTCTGAAGGCACTTGCACACTTAGTCCTTGTTTGTCACCATCTATGTGATGCAGATGTGAGCTAAGTGAATTTATACACTCCTAGACAATCCAGATTGAGAAGGAGTTGAACCTAGATCAGTTAGATTCATTCCAGTGAGAGCTAATTGGGAGAATAATGGCCTTGCTTCATCTAGAACACAGCTGTCCCTCACTCTGGCTTACACAATATATAACAGGCAATCCTTGACAGTTGAACAGGCTACACTTGATTGGGGACATACTTGGTGACTTTGCTCTAGGACTCTCTTTTGTAGCAATATCAGCGGTTTGAAGGGCAATACATTTAGGTCTGCTTTTCCTGCCATACATTTGCAGAAAGTACAAGATAATGATACATATTGTATGCTGGCTGAGGATACTCTACACAGAGAAGGACCCGGGCTTGAGATTGATTATTATGATGTAACTCTTACAGAATATGCATTCAATGAGATATATGTACAGTAGCCAGTAAATCAAGTTTTTATGAATTTATGGATATACAAATGTTAGGATTAAGGCGAGCTTTCTCTCTCACGGGAACACTGTTCCCATGAATCAGATTTCCTTGACCCGGGGCCCTATTTATTGCAGCGGTAAACTTGCACACCATCCTTCTTTTGCAGCGAGAAGATGATTTCATTGAGATTGGTACATGCAAGTGTGATATGTAGACAGAAAACGAGAAAAAGAGAGCAATAGCAATATGCAAAGCAATCAGACTAACAACTAAACTAATAGCAAAAGCCACAATCCTACCCCTCACCGTCGAGTCCCCCCGCGAGCAGCGCGCGAATCTCGGCGACGCATTCGCCCAGCCTTGCGTGGACCTCCCGCGCATTCTCCAGCAATGGCTTGATATTCTCGGGCGTCATTGCGAGCCTCCCCAGCGCAAGATCAGGCACCGCGGGGACGGGCGGCATTGACCGCACTGAGCCGCCAGCACCGGTGCGTTTTGACCGCGAAGATGGACTGCCATTTTTGCTGCTGCTAGCGGATGGGGTGGCCCCGGGCATTTCTGCGACATTCGACAGCCTTGTCGAACGCGTCGTTCCAGAGGCATGGGCAAGCGACGTCCGTGAGCCACTCGCGCTGGGGGAACGCATTGGGTTGGGATGTGACGGCGAGCTGGGCGTGGTCGGCCGATTTAGGATCGGTAAGCCATACGGAGACTTCCCACCTCTTCCCCGCACGGTCCCCGTCGACATGCCCATACCAATATTCATCCCTTCAGCATCGGAAGCTGACGCTGACGCCGAGTCCTCCATCCTGTCCCAGTCCTCCTCCTCCGTACTATTATGCGCACTCTCCCGCCCGCCAGAAATACCACTGAACGTGGGGTACAGCTCAAACCCATACTCCGGCCCGGACACCGGCGGTGGTGAGGCCTTGGGCGATTTGCCCCCGATGCGAAAGATGGCCGCAAGAGACGGCCGGCGCGGCGATGGTGACGCCGTCTTGTACGATGCAGTCAAGTCGTTTGGTGACATTGGCCGCGGGGCATTCGTTGAGCGGACCGACTCTGGCCCTGCGCTCGTCTTGGCCCGTCTCCGCCCCTGAGTGGGCACGTGACCGTGCTCGTACAGATGCCCCGACGAGTCTGTGCTAACTGAGGTAGACGACGCGGCTGTGGGCTTTGCGGGTAGCGGCCCGTTTGCACTAGCCCCCCGTTTCAATGCCCTAAGCATGTCCCGAATCCCACTCATTCGCAGCCGACTGCTCCGCCTTTTCTTCTTCGCCTCCTTCTCCTCGACCCCCACCCCCGCGCTCTCCTCGCTCGGCAGTGTAACCGTACTCCCCATCGCATCGCCCCATCGCCAGTCACGGTTCACTGGCAACGACATCGTAGGTGACTCCTCTGGAATCCCGCCCTCACTAATGAACGACTCGTCCGCATTGCCCGCCAGCATTTCCTTCAGAAGATGGAGTTGCCGTTGGCTGAGGTCGTTTCGGCCAGTTGATGCCCTCCACGCAGAATTCGGCGGGCTCGCAATCGGGGGACCAGTCATGGGCGGGGGTACAGGAGAGTCGTCCGTGAGCGTGATCGCCCGCTCACGTGTTTTACCCGCAGCTGTAACCGTTGGCATCGCCGGTGCAGACGTGCTCGTCGTCGGTTGCCCGCTAGAGCTCCCGCCACCGCCGAGGTCAATTAGCAGTTCCGCGCACTCCCACGAGATGCGATATTTAGAATTGATCGTATAAAAGGCGGACGCGAGTTGCTTGTATGCCTGCTGAGGCGATGTGGGGTTGGAAGACGATGTGTTGGACCGATGTCGTCGGAAGAACGTTGGGGAAGAGGTACTGCGAGTTGTGGATGATTCGTCTTTAGGCGGGGGATGAGAAAGAACGTGGGCATCGAGAAGCCCTTGAACCTCTGAGACAAGCGATTGGTAGGTTGATTGGAGATCTTTGAGTTCTGTAATACAGTCAGCAAGAAGGACAAAACAATGGATAACTTACCTTCCACACTCCGCGCAAACTCCCTCACCATCCCCAAATCGCGTCGTAGACCTTGTTGTGCCTGGCTGATCCTTGCAGGAATCTTCAAGTCACCCAGCGAATTTCTTCGCATCGCACCAGGCCCCATTTCCACCCCCCGCCCGCTTGCAAGCACCGGAAGGTGGCCATGGGCAGCAGCCGACCGGCCCAGAGACGCCGCGTGACCGTGTGGGGAGAGTGTCAGTGGGGACTTTTGTTGTGGCAGTTGCGATTGCGTGTGTGGCGTCAGCGAAGGTGTCGAGGAGGAGGCAAGGGGAACGGGCGAGTTAAGCGTGGTACTCGGGTTGGAGAAAGTGGGCGAGAAAGAAAGGGGAAGGCCGTCTACGCCCGCTGCGACGCCGGGCGCGATGGTCATCATGCTGCTCCCCCCACTCGGCGACCGCACTGTTTGCGGCGGCGACGGCGGCTGCAGCTGGACATCCACCGGCGGGACCGGTACCGGCCCGGAATCCGGCGACAGAGGCAGGCCGGCCGGTAGGCCTGAAAGCGACACCCCGCTCTTTGTGCGTTTGTGCCCAACAAGGCTGATGCGGCGGACATTGCGCTCGATGAAGCCCATTCCATGGCCTTCCGAGCTGGACGCCTTATTGAGATCCTCGACACTGTCTGACGGGGGCGGCCGACCGACGCCGAGCCCGCCGTACTTGCTTGGACTAGCATTCGGTGTTTGCGCTGCAGTAGCCCCAGAATTCTTCGCCGTTGGTGTGGCGTGCTCATCGCCGTTGAGTGGCCTGAGCCCCTTACGAATCTGCACAAAGCCCAGACTTCGCCGTTTCACCAGCTTGCTGCTCTCCTTCGGCTCCTCCTGTCCAGTGGGCGAAGGCGTATACGGCCTCACTGCTTCTCCCGCCGCAGGGGAACCATCTCGACCCAAATCTCCTCCGGTTTTGGACGCAGTTGCTGGGACTCGTGGCCGACCCCGGTCTGCAGGCGATCCTGACCCGGCCCGAAAAAACCAGTTTCTTGACCCCCCACTCGTACCGGCACTGCTTTGAGGGGTAGAATTGGGAATTGGTCTGGGCGGTGTCCGAGGCGCGTCCCCCGCATAGTGCGAGTGTCGAATAGCACTTCGCTTCACGACAGGACCGGTTGGTGACGCGCTTGACGATGGCGCAGAATATGAATGGCGGGAGCGGGAGGATGATTGCGAGCCGGAGCGTAGAAGCGCGGGATGTGAATGCGAGTGAATGTCCGCGAGAACATCCAGGTCGGGGTCTACAAATGGTTCACAGATGAACAAAATAAGAAAAACAAAACACACGAACCGGGTCCCAATGTCTCGCTCGCCACACTAACGCTACTACTTTTCTTCCGCCTGCCTAGAACACCGCCTCCGCCGCCCCACCGTTTGACGCTGCCAATTCTTGACAACAACCCGCCTCCGCCTGAAGTAGTCGAAAGCGCCACCTGTGAAGCACTTGCATTTCTGGATGTGCCCGTCTGGCTCGCGCCGACATCCGTGCTGGAGCCATAGGGATTATACCGCTGGTGCTGACGCTCCTCTTCTTCCCGCTCCCGCTCCAAATCCGCGTCCCAGTCTTCGACTTCTTCCTCCGTAACGCCTGCTCCATCCTCACTTGCCCGGCGCATATCTCGCAGCTCCACCGTGCCCGTTTTTTCCTGGCCATGTGGTCGGCTCTTCTTTCGCAGCCGTCTCCGCTCGCGGTGGATTGGCGGACTGGGCGGAAGGCCCGCAAGCCCCTTTGCAGCCTCTCTTTCCCGCTTGCCTGACCGTGAAGTTGGCCGTAAATGAGTTGTGCTTCCCGCACTGGTATGCGTATACGCAATCGACGCGTTATCGGGAGCTGAGAAGACAGATGCAGTTGGGGAACGCGGGAAGGGCATGTTCTGCAGCGACTCTTTGGTGGGAATATGTAAGCCTGGTCCCCGTCGTCCGACTGTGGCGGATTGTGGTAGTGGGGGTACAGGCGGCGGCGGAGAGGCGTGGACCAGATGATGAGACAATGCCCTTCTTCCTGTCCGGGCCGTAACTGTTCTGTCCTCCTCGTCACCAAATCCCAGCTCGGCGTCCATATCGTCATCGCTCGACTCGCCCCACTGTTGCTGGGCGGTCTGGATAGCCGTCGCCGCCGATCCAGCCCTGCTGCGGATTTTGCTTGCTCGTGGGGTCTGGTCGCGATGTCTTGTCGCATCTGAGTCGTGGGGACGGGAAAGAGCACGAGCGGGTGGTGGAGGAGGGAGCGCAAAAGAAGATCGAGAGGAAGATGGGTTCGGGGGAATTGGTGATGCAGCAGAGGAGGAGGAAGATATTGGAGAGTGGGAATTCGATGTGGAATGGGAATCCGTCGAGCTGTATTGCTGGTGCCCCTCCTGCTCATGCTCCTCCTCAGCAAAATCGTCGTCCCAATTCTCCGTCGTTGACTGCGAGCCGCGCTGCCGCTGATGATGGCGGTGGCCGTTTTCGTTTGCGGAGGTCGTGTCATTATGTGTGGTGGGGGTGTCGCTATATAGATGGTCGTGGGGCGGCTGGTCATGGCTATTGAGGGGGGGTCGCCGTGTGCGTTTCGAGGATGTGGATTGGAATTCAAAGTCGTCGTCCCAGTTTTCGGAAGCCTCTGTGGAAGAGTCAGCCGGTGGAAATGGAAGAGGAGGGTAAAGTGAGAAGGGAAGAGGGAGGGAAGATGGGAAGCGAAGATAGTGAAAAGTCCATCCGGCCTTGTGGGTTTCGGGACGGTAAAAGGTAACGCGTATGTAGAAGGGTGTGTTAAGGGCGCTAGCGAAGCCTCCCAAATCGACCGTACGCGCCTCCAGCTGGCACCCATGGGCCTCCTCTATAATCCTTGAGCCCCATCTCCCCTCCTTCGCCCCCCGCAGGAAAGAAAAAGCTCGAAAGAACGGCACACGCACCTGCAGCATGCATGGCTCCGTATCATGAGGCGCCTCGTGGGGCGTCGTATCTGCAAAACGTATCAGCACTTCTCTCCGTCGCGCCGGGCAACGGGCGGGCGGGAGCGGACGCACCGTATGGGGGCGAGAGCAAAAGACAAGGCCGCGCGTTACGTGACGGTGACACGTCACCGTGACCATCACTGATGAAAATGACAGTGTGGGTAGCGTTGGGACGGCGACCGCTTGTACTTCGTTTTCACCTTGTCCTTGTGGGGGCAATGGACATTTGGGCCTTGTTCAGCTACCAAGACTGTGACGTCGCCCTGGTAGTTCTCAAAACCGGCGTAATTTACTAATTATAACCCCTTTGGGCGATCGGAGCCAATACGCGATCGGTCATCGGTCCTCCCGACATCAGCAACATAGATGTTGACACCTCCGAGACAGTGTGTCGGCTAAAACAACCATCCCCACACACAAAACGTTAAGTGTGTAGTCACCCTGAGGATTCAGAAGAAAACTGGAGGATTTTTAAAAATTTTAATGAGGGTAATAATTGGCCAAAAAAAGGGACACTTTATTTGTTGGGGAAAAAGATTGGAAAAGACCCAATAAATAGAATAGCAATCTTGTCAGAAAACAACAGTCAATATTATAATACAAAAGGCTTCTTGTGACCAAAAAAGTTCTATTTTTCCACCCTACAGGCAAGCTTTTTTTGCCACAATCTGGGAAGCTTTTTTTCCCTATAGATTTATTTGCTATCCACTTGATCTTTTTCAACTTTTTTTTCTACTCAATAAAGATAGCCTTTTTTGGCATATTATTACCTTCATTAAAATTTTTAAAAATGGTCCAGTTTTCTTTGGAATCCTTGGGGTGAGTAAAGCAAGGCTTGCACTGTTGGGAGTCAATTTCTTGTTCTATTGTATCCAAGTATTTTGGCCCAAAAACCACTTACTTGCAATTTGGCTGGTGTAACAGGATTCTAGAACCAAGATATTTACTGTTTTTTTAGTTCAAAGAAAAATGTTACCTAAGTATACCACAAATGCTTCCAGGCAGAATATTGGCTTATCATTCAATTTACAGATGTGCAAAAAGATTCAAAATAACTATTATGACATTTTGCATCTATTTCATACAAGAACATATATCCACATTCTAATATTACTTTCTTTCCTCCTCTTTATGTAATGGCACTGAAAGTTGTATCTCTGTACATGCTGCTATTGCCCTCTGCCATAACTCATTCTGCAGAAGTGTGGTTTTGTCTCCTATAATTATAAGAGCCAATCGTGCACGTGTCCACATTACATTCAATCTTCTGGGGTCATCCAAAAATCCAATGTCCTGTGCTGTGTTACTTCGCACACTGGTAAAAATAACAATATCTGCCTCTCTCCCCTGGAATGAATCAACAGTAAATGCTTCTGTAACACCCTCCTTTCGGAGATTCTGGATCTGTGTAGCATAGGGCGATAATATAGCAACTGATAATTGTTTTCCTAGGTTTCCATCTTCCATATTCAATTTGAACATAGGCAAAATATGCTTGACAAGGTCGACTTGGCCAGGGTTGCATTTTGATCTGCCAGATGTTTCTGGTGAACCTATGTGGATAAAGACCGTGGGCACTACAGTTCCCTGATAGTTATTCTGAGGCCAGGGAAAGGTACAGAACTTCAAAACTTCAAGAATTCCTTGGCTATCTTGTAGAGCTGTTTGAAGTTTTCCCTTATAAAATTCATTTGAAGGGAACCAGGCTAACTCCTTTGGGAACCGATATTGTGTCTAAAAATCATTCAGCTTGGATTTTCAAATGCTCTGATCTTACATTTAGCATAGTTTTGACAAGTCCTGGAAGCTGAGGCCCAGTATAGAGTCTTTCTAACATGGATATGTCCGATTGAAGTGCTCGACCCATTACTTGTACAGTAGGTCTAAGTTGAACACTAAAATCATGTTATACCAGCCAAGAGAGGGCAATTTTAAGGCTTACTGATCTCCTACTAGTACTGCTTTCTTTACTCCTTTCACTAGGGGAATGAGTGCAATAGCTTCTGTGATCTGAGATGCTTCATCAATGACTGCAATATCAAAGTCCATCCTTCTCAGAACTCCTAGTCCAGCACCCTATATAGATCATCAGTATCATATATTAAAGAACAATAACAATGTGATCTACTGCACAGGTAGTAAACACAATAATTGCGGTCTTTAGCCTTTCCTGGGCCTTCTTGAAGAGCTTGTTACTCTCTGTCATATCGCCTCCAACCCGAGCATCAATAGTATAACTACTCAATGCCCTGTTAACTTTACTTGAATCTGTAGCAACCCGCAGAATTTCCTGCTCTGATAATATGTTTTTTGCAGCATTCAACTTGATAAATCGCTCAAGAACATTATCTACAGCTAATAATATTGTTAACAAACAAGCATTGAATTTATAGGATACCTGCCATTATGTGTAGAAGCAGTCATTAAGATCTTGGTGCCATTGACTTGTGTCTTTATGAGGTGCTTCAATATTTGAACTACAACAGTGGTTTTTCCAGTTCCTGGAGGTCCCCAAACTAAGCTAACCTCAGCAGCAGTATGACTGACTGCTAGAGATTGACTTGGATTCAATGATATAATAGGGACAACAGGCTTGAGACTTGCTGTTTCTGAATGGTTTTCTTGACTAGTTTTGTTTTCAATGATTATATCATAAAAGCTACAGGCATCTTCCTTTTGGGATAGGAGTTTTTGCAAAGCTTCCATAGCAGCTTTGCTAGTAGCTAAAGGAGTTCAGTTTTATTATAAAAATTTATACTGATATCTATTCAACTTACCAGTGCTGCCTGCATTATATAAATTCCAATCCATCTGTTCCATCTCGGGTGGTGGTGGATGTAACAGCTCAATAGTTAACTGTCCTCTCTCAGCTTTAACTACAATTCCATCTAATATGATTCCAGAAATAAATCTGTTATCAGGCTTAGATGATGCCTGCACTCTGACATGTGAGTATAACCTGATTGAAGACTGCATATCAATCCTAATTGGTGCTTTAACACATAGTGGCTCATCTGGAATATATGATAATCTAGTATGAGCTGGTGCAACCTTTTGTTTCCGAGGTTTCCCATTTTCATCACAGGGACACTCCTGAAATGCTTCTTCTGCACGTTCAAATGCAATGGCAAGCCCATGTTTTGCTAGATATGCTGATACTCTGTCATCATCTTGCCTATGTAACAATCGGGAATCGTTCAATACTAATAGCACTTCTTGTTGTACATTCTGTGCCCTGATGGAGCAAGATGCAAGCCACAGAATATCAAGATAATGTACTACAGAAAGTGCTGCAATAGCACCTGAAGCTTTTTCTAGGCCAACCAGAACTGCTATGCCTAGTGAATTGGCACATCTGACCAGGTTGATTAAGATATTATATCCCATAGATGCAATCTTATCAGGAAGCTGGTGATTATCCATAGGAGGATATATTTTGAGTAAACAAAATACTAATGGTGGATGAGCATCTAGCCACTCTATCAGAAGAGCATTATTGACTGGTTGCAAGCTGGAAATAAAAGTGAAAATCCAATGGACTTCTTCCTCTAGATGATACTTTAGAGCAAATTGCATCAGAGTTCTTATTTGTACAGTACTCAAAGATGCTATATTTTGGAGGAAAATCTCTTCTGATTTTCTTGGGTGAAATGCTAAAGTCATCCAAACTGGATATAGTTTTGTATTACTCCAATCTTCCTTTGTAATATCTCTTAGATCATTTAAGTGATAATCTGATGCCTGTCTATTGAAGCGTTTGATGATATTATCTGTAGGAATACTGGAGGAACACCGTGAGAATAATTCAAGCTAGAAGTCTTATACATACTGCTCAAACCACATATCAAATAGCTGATGTGCAACCCGATCTCGGTTAGATACTACATGTATCTCAATTCCAGTGATTGGACTTCGGTTAACTCTACCCATTTGCTGTATAATATCAGGACAGATACTCCCTTTATATTTAGTCAACAGACCTTTTTCACCCCATCTGAGATTTTGTCAAGTGCAATACTAACCGCAAGTTCATGTCCAGATGATGCTGGTGGTCTAGTGATGAATACAAAAGTATTTCCTCGCTTCCTATCATATAGTTGCAAGTTTGTGTCACTACAGTGAAGCCTATATCCTGTTGTGCATTGACAGTAATTGGAGAAGTTTGATGATGTTTTGTTCATGAAGGAACAAATCACAACATCTTCATTTACTTCAGGTTCATCATCCCATGTAACATTTCCTCTGATAAAAATGCCAATTGCAAATCGGTCATCAGTCTATCAACAATGGTAAGATTAAACTAATAGGAGATAGAGGGTTACCTTAATAACAAGTAACCGTTTAGGAAACTCTTCAATAGCTATTTTGAGAAAGTAGAAAAATGTTGCTAAGCTGTTTGATTGGGAAGAGTAAAGCTTTTGAAGTCGGTAAGGTTGGTTTAGAGATCTGCTATAAAGGTCTGCCTGTTTCAATATGCTTGAGTGGAATAATGAGTTCCAGATTGCCTTGTACTCTGAAGTATCCTCTATGATGCCTAAGCTGCTAATGACTGCATAGCGCTGAGCAGTAGTCATAGCACCAAAATCTAGATGTCCCAATAATGGAATGAAGTCTTGAGTTGACATTCCAAGTTTCTTGGCTAGTCCCAATGCAAGACTGAAAATCTCATATTCTGTGAGGGCTGTATATTCACTTTTTAACAGTTGAGCCAATACAGCATGAGCTGTGTGTCCTGAATCAGAGGTCACTGTTTGAACAATAGACTGATTTTGAGATAAAAAGCTGGAGGCAAACATTTGAGCAGCTCTAGCTAGCTTATTGAGGATAAATTCAGTTTCATTAATTGGTGGGGGTTCCAATAACCGCGGAGGAATTTTGATAGCCGCTCCATCCACAGATTGAGAATGCAAAGCATTGAGTTCTTGGCACTCTATACATAAAGCACCTAGAGGACTAGCCTTGATCCAGCGTGCATGTAGGGCAGCCACACGAGCCAGTGATGCACTAAACAGTCAGTCTAGAAGGAGTGACCAGCAACCATACTAACTTGTTATATTGTGCAAAATGAGTCGCAAGATCCATTCTGGTCACCTCTCTTGGTGGTAATTCACGGTTTGGTGGATAATCATAGGACTGTCATATTATCTGATATAAGCATATATCAGAGAAGAATTTTCTTGGCATACCTCTGAAATAGTAGCTGGAACAATATCTGGGTCCCAGCATACAAAATACCTATCCCCATCCAAATCACCTGAAATTTTTATATTATTTCTGTATCAATATAATCAGTTTTGCTGACCTCCACTTGACATAGATGGTGCAGCTTTGTGACCTGGTTTTGCAACCCCAGAAAACACTATACAATCAACCAAATGTGTTAGTGCTGGGTGATAAACTGCTTGAAGCTTCAGACAGTCCCCTATTGAAAAGGTTAGTATCAATGATACACCAAGTTATTACCTTACCAGGATGAAGACAAGGATTGCGTACAACTAAGACATTGCCATTAATTGGAGTTGTTGCCCCATCTCGCCCAGCTGTGATCCGGATATGTACCTCTCCTTCTCTGAGAACACCAAATGGATCACAAACTCCAAAGATAAGCCTTGATTTTCGAATAATCATCCTAGACCGATCCTTCTGATTGCGCTCATTTTTGAAGCCTGATAACTCCCTCATTTGAAGCTTCCTTATAGCTTGTGCAACAGCAGGTGCTTCTACACCATCTAGCAAGATCTGAGACGCCAGTGATTGATCTGAATCAGAACCCTCTGTTAATGTTTCTTGATCCATAGCTGAGAGAAAGTCCAAGGCATGGAGAGTATCCAGTGATGCATTTTGTATCCAATTAAAATATTCCTGTTGCTTTGCAAGCAACTTTTCATTGGTGATTCCAAGACTGGATAAAAGAACAATAATGTCATTGTTCAGACGACCAAAAGAATATGGGGCAGAGTAGTCAACTACAGAAAATGTATTGTTCTGTGTTGCATTGAATTTTTTCATACTCTTGCGGAAATGAACTAGGAATTGCTCATTTTTGTTGTTATGTGCAAGTGCATCAAGTTGGGGATGAAGCATAAGAACACCTTTGTATCCACGATATCTAGATAATCTAAGTATTGATATGATTTTTTTTATGAATTAATACTCATACCTGATCTGGAAAACTGTAGGAGTATATCTTTTGCCTCGGAAAATTATCTTTTTTTCTTTTGCAAGTTGAACTGCAAGCCTCCGTGAAATAAGACCACAGCCATCAGAAAATAATTCATCTCCTAATTTTATATCCTCAATGTCTTTGACATATTTTGGATCTAAATCAAAGTCAAGTTGAGCTTCAGAGAACAGTAGTCCAATTCGTTTTGCCCCTATTACGGGTTCAATAGAGCTCCAATTGAACTAGTGAGATCTCACTTTTGGCTGCACTTTTGATCTTGGAAAAGTCACCCCACGCATTGATCCGCTCGTCGAGAACACTATCTGAGGTGGCTTCACGAAGAAGACAACTTCTTGATCGCTGTTATCCACTTGTCTTCAACAAGAACAAGGACAAATAATACATTGCATACCAATTGACTGTTTGAATGGTGATAAAATCGGTATTGGACACCATTCAAGAACAATCCCATCTTGAACAAACGAGTCATGTACTCAGCAGTAGCCTTCAATGTTGTCTCTGGGAAACGAAGGTCTCCAAATGACAGGAGGATGAACTTGGTCTTGTCATCAGACTGTAGAATCCGGTTGTTTGGCAGCAGCTGCATCTGAAATGTAATGTGCGTTGCTGTGAACTTTATGAATTTGCCATAGAGCTCGGGATTCTTTGCCTTCGGTGGGATGCTGAAGGCTGTGGCAGGAAGGGTAAACTTCCACTCAGTGTCGTCCTTGGTGGGGTTGTGCTGCAGGATAATGTGCTTGCCATGGGCGGCTTGGGGCTGAGACATGGTGTGTGGAGGGGGGTCGTGGTAGGAAGTCGTGGAAGAGGTGTGGGACGTGGGAGCATGTATGTATATATATCTGACATGCGCACGGGCCATTCTTACAGATTCGGACACGCTGTCGCGCACATCCATCTTTATCTCCGCCCTCACCCCCATGCAAAGCAGCAAGCGTATATACATAGTGGGGCCTTCGGTGAGTTTCACATTGTATTTGACTGTGAGTATTGCCTGATGACGGCGACCTAACGTAGTCCACGGGGAAGTCCACCTTATGTGGTGCAATTGCGGCCCGGTGGGGTTTGACGCCAAAGCAACACATTACTGAGGTTGCAAGGACCGTCATAAAGCAACTAGGTCTGAGCCGTGATCACATCAGCAACCTTGAAATGCAGAAAGCAATTATGTTGGCTCACCTCCAGAAGGAAAATGAAAGTGACCAACAAAAAATCTTGCTGTGCGACCGTTCGGCAGTCGACCCCGTTGTCTATTCTGTCTTCACCTCGAAGGATAAAGATACCGCGAACGAGCGCAAGCGGGCATTGGTCACCCTCCCGGAGTTCCAAACGGCAATCGAGGGATATAGAAACTCCCTTTTTATCCTGCTGACGCCAGTGTCAGAATGGATAGTGGACGATGGCTTCAGACATGTGGGGAATGAAGTGGATGTGACAAAGATTTTTCAAGAAACACTCCACGAGCTAGGCATCCACTATGTGGAAATAGGTGAGGAGACGCAGAAGTTGGAAGATCGCGTGAATTTGGTACAGCATTTAGCATTTGGAAATTGACTCGGAAAGATATAACCTAGTTGTATTTACCGCACCTTATACATTTGCACAACAGTCTCCACTTTCCCTCCCTCCGCATCCTGAGGCACGACATGATAATGGATTTCCACGTCCAGCTCGCGCGAGTTGACGTCGCTTTTTGTGCAGTGGAAAGTTCCACTGATCTTCGTGCCTGCAGAAGATAGAACGTTATTAAATTGGCTAAACCGCAGAGGAAACATTCGCGTACCCTCAACGACTCCGACGGGTTCTTTCAACAGGAAGAGTGTCTGCTTCCAGTGTGTGGGCACGCTCTGCGGGCCAGTGCTAAAACTTGTGATTTCCGGCGGAACAGACCGCTCCACCGTAGGGGATAGAGTGCTGCTCTTGGTGCTCGCCCTCCGCAGCGGAACAGGCCGACCAACACCTGCACCAAGCGGCCAGACGTCTGCCAGGATGGCGTCACCCTCTCTGATGATCTTGACTTGCTCCGCACTGTCCAGTGCACCGCTCGATGGAAGGAAAAATGTGTCGAAGTATAAAACAAACGCGTGCACCTTCTGTCGTTTATCGGCCGTCGAAGTCAGCGTGAATGCTGCCGCGAAGTTGAGCTGAGATGGAGACAGTGTCGATAAGTGGAGGTCCTTGATGCAGGCTGCGGAGGAAAGGAGGGCGGTTGGCGGAATGATATCGACCACGGAGTCGGTGTAGACCGGCGCTTGCATCACGCTGAGGTCGAAACCTGCGATGGCCTCAATATCATGAGGGATAGCGAGCACGGAAACTCACCGTAGACATCGTCCCAGAACTCGACCCGCTCTTTCCGGACTTCCACTGGGTCACACAGCGCAAGCATCATCCGACATTGACTGGGAGCCATAACCCCGCCAGGCTTCAAGAACCTATCCCTCGCCACCAGCACAGAGTCGAGCATTGACTCGTACAGCAATGCATAGCCCATCCACTCGCTGATGATCACATCCACTTTCTCTCCCTGCTCCAAGCCGGGAAGAACGACATCCTCGACTTTACCCTCCACCACTGTGATTATCTCGTCCAGCTTATTGACCTTGACGATTTCCTTTGCTCGGCTAACGATACCTTTGCTCGCGTCCACCGCATAGACTCGTTTGGCGCCAGCTCTCGCCGCGAAGAGCGAGAGTATCCCCGTCCCGCAGCCTACGTCAAGCACTGTAGCGCCAGAGAAGAGAGCAGAGTTGGATAGAATGAACTGCGCATACGTCGACGTGCGGACTTTGTCTTGCAGCATGACTGCGTGAATGTCTATTGGCCAGTTTAGCATAGGAAGCTAGAGTCACGTTCATGACGCACCGTTTTCGCCGTAGCTGTCGAAATAGTGCGAGTCGTCATCCGTCGCCGCCTTCAAGTCTTTCTTTGACGGGCCCGGTTCATCGAAGGCTGCGCGTAGAGCAGCGAAGTCCCCGCCAAGTTGTCGGCCAACGAGGCTTCGATAGTCTGCGAACTCCTGCTTCGCTACAGCAAGTTTCTTTTCGAGTTGTGCGACGCGTTTCTCCGCAGAGGCCGTAGGGCCTTCGCTCTCCGAGTCAGACCAGTTCTCGCCCCCGCCTTGAAACTCTGTCTTTTGGTCAACTCAGGTGGAGTCAGGAGCAGATTAAAACGCACGCAGGACAGGGTCATCCTCCACAACCGGCTTCAAGTACTCCTCCCCCTCAAAGCCTTTCGCGTCCTGCAGCGCAAGCACACTTTCTGGAGTCGGTTTCTCCCGCCTAATCCAATTCACCAGCCTGATCCAGCCATACACATCTGCCTCCAGCCCAAGCCTCCGTGAAACCTCGCGAATATCCACACCAAACTGCTTTTTGTCCCACTCAAATGCCTGCTCCGCGTTTGGCAGCTCCTTTTTAGCGTCAAACAGCGACTGACACGGCCGCGCGTCGTCGACCCAGTCCGAGAAGGTCTCTTCTTCATCGTTCGAGTCGCTTGACAGTGAGGCAGAGTCGGAGCCTTCGTCCACCGCGTCCGATGGGGAAAGGTGCACAATTGTCGGTGCACTCATCGGAGATCGATGGAAGGAGAGAAAAAAGATGTGCGTGGCTGTGCTATGACATCAGCTGGCCGAAAGGTGCGGTCATGTCTGGGATCTAAGCAAGACGAAACATGATTTTGACCTATTATTCACATCCACACATCGATCGGATTTACTTATGCTACGTACAAGTAATAGCACCCGAAACCGAATACATTAATCACTGTGTACATCTGTCACGTTCGCAGCATTCATTGAAGACTTTGCTTCATTCAGTGGCATGCGCTACTTGATCGTACGAATCACTTACCTTTTGGCCGGAATACTTGCGTCGGCCAGCTTCTGTGGTGTATTCTCTGCCTTGCGGCATTGCAGCCCGCGAGCTTGGAGTGGGAGGCGGTCTGCGCGCGCCACCCTCGGTGTCCAGCGACGGAGTACATTCGAACGACGGGCATTATCCGATCCAAATGATTTCTTGTGTCGAGGATTCACGGTAGATTCAGACGGAGGAGCGATGAGGACTTACGGAGAGAAGGTCGAAGTTCTTCTGGAACAGTGACACCTTGGTGCTCTTGTCAAACAGGCCAAAGAACGATCCGGTGGCGCCTGCATTGAGGGCGAGACCCGCAGAGACGGTGAAAGATCCACCAAATGAGGCGTCTGTATTTGTGGACACGCGGGATTGGGCAGCAGCTAGGTCAGTATTGTTGTCGGAGCTTCGGGAAGAGTCAGCCGCAGTAGAGTTGGCTGAGGGCAGGCCGTCGGTAGCGGCCACAACACTTCAGTTTACAGGAGTTCAACGTAAGAAATCGGCTGAATACCATCACATACGAGCTGGTTAGCGCATCAGCATCGTCGTTCCTGTCGGTATCCGCAGGTGAATCAATGCTGGTCGAGTTTCTGTCGGTTTTTTGAGACAATTAAGCCGCCTGAGGAAACTCGAACTGACGAGAAAGAGTTGTCGTCGAGTGAGCTGTCTTCATCATCATTGCCCAAACCATCGGTAGAATCATCTTCTGCACCGAAATTACTGAAGTCTCATAAACATTGGCACTTCTTCTGAGAACACAGTGTATCACGTACGCAGTATCCGCCGAATCGTCGACATCTGCGTTTTGAACTTCGCTCCAGGCATCAGATAAATGCGACTCCGAATCGTCATCAGCAAGCCTAAACCATTGAATAGTTGCTGAAACTTGAGGGAGATACGGCCTTGACTTACGTGTCATCAGAATCCCCAATATCATCAGCTTGGGGAGTGTCCGAGGAGCTAGACAACCGAATTTATCAAGGGAGATGCACATACTTGAACCACATAAACGTACTCTGCTTCGTCATCGTCATCAACAAGGCTCGCATCGTCGAGGGAACTGGATGAATTCTTCGAATCGAAATTTCTCAGCACAAAATCAATCAACTTACTCCGTTGGATTATCGTCATCTTCTAAGTCCTCTCCAAACGCATCGTCATCGTCATTTGCCCTACAACCAGAGTTAGATGAGCAATGCGACGAATGGAAGAAACGCACGATGAGGAATCGCTGGGGTCTGAATCGTCAGAGCTACACATCATCAGCGCTAAAAGAAAATGTCAAGGTTGTGAGATTACGAGGTAGCATCGTCCGAGTCGTCCTGAGAACTAGAGTTCGCCGCGCTACGGAAACAGGTTTATGCAGTTCGGCGGAGAACGGGTGGAATCTTACTCCCCTGGGCCATCGACCGTATCGCCCGAATCGCTATCGTTATCAGAGTCGTCGAGCTCCGAATCGCCAGCGTCATCTGACTCATCGTCTGAGAAGTCAATGCCGCCATTAGCCCGTTTCTGGGCGACGGTCGCGCCTGCCCCCTGGTCTATTGCATTAGCCCTCCCTCAACGAGACGCTATAGTCTTACAGCATTGGCTTCAACCTTAAGCTGCATTGTCGCCGATGCATCAAGGTCAAGATTAACTGTCGCTTGCACGACCCCCAGCGCAGACAGACCGAGGTTGATTGACGGTACAAGGTGTGCCTCCACAGTCCCTGTGGCAGCAGCCTTGGTGTCGGCGGACAACTTCAATGCTATACATGCTCAGCAATATCAAAACTGGAAAAAATGGGATTGGTACGGGTATTCCCCAGCTGGAATGATCCTCCGCCCTGCTGTCCATTCGGCGGGAAGAAGAGCTGTGCGTTGTCAATATGATAGTTGATGCCAACGGTCATGTCAACGTTCATGTCGAGCGTGGCTTTGGCATTGGCATTGACCTGGAAGGTCGGTCCGATGGAGAGGATACCGGGAAAATCGAAGCCCGGGATGCCCGCCTCAAACAGCTTGATGTTTCCAGAGGAAATCGCGCCCTGGGAGAAGAGGATGATTATACGAACGCACACAAAAAGGAACTTAGGCTTACGGAAAGGTCTGCTGTTATGTCGAGCTCGCCGTTGAGATCCGCAGTGAGGCCTGCCGGAATTTAGTCAGGAAATTGGATTCGAACTTAGCACTGCTTGCCCGCGATCAACGAGAAATCACTAATCTTGGGTGGAACGATCGTGCCGGCTGCTGCCACGCCGAGTGTGACGACGGCATGCGCCTTCGCATTGACGTCGACCGATATCTTCGCGCTGACCGGTGGACAGTCCAGCGACTGCTCAAAAAGTGTCGCCTGCTTGTTGAAATCTATGGCCGGGAGGGCTCGTGATTTGTCAATACCGAAGCTGTTGGCGTTGGAAACGACGTCTGAGATTGCTAGACGGCGTCTGAGATCCCTCGAAAATCATTTCGAAGCTTACTTACCGTTGGCAGCATTTACAACGAAGTTTTTGAAGCTGGCGAGAGATTGTCGACGGTTAAGTCTGCTGCGGCGCTGCGATGCGATAGCTGCTGAAGAATCGCTCGTATTTCCACTGATTAAATCGTTCAATCCGGGAACGTTGATGGCTTTGACCATCAGAGCAACGGGGCCCGTGCTGCAGAGGGTGTGAATTACGGGCAAAGATGAGAGTGAAAAACAATGCACTTTGTGTCATTGACAGAAGAGAAGTCTGTGTCGAACCTTAGTGCCTTCACTTGGGGTTGCGCATCTTCTTGCCGACGAGCGATGCGTGCTGCGATGGAGGAGGGTATCGATTGGTCTGTGGGGACCCAAGCGCGCGCAATGCGGGCGAACGGCCCTTTTCCACACTGAGCCAGGCGGGGGGGGGAGCAGTTAGGGTATCATCGTCGGACATAATGCAGCCTCACACTTTCAGGTAATCTGACAATCGTATCCACCGCTCCGTGACCCGCGTAGAGGTGTTGGCACATCGAATCGTATTCGGCGCCCATACATACCAGGCGGATGTCCTGCGAAATGGCGGAAGAGTCGCATCCCAGGATCTGCCAGCCAGCGGCGGTCGTGATGTCTCCAATGGCAGTATGGGCACCGGCAGTCTGGATTATGTGAGAAGCGGAGACACAAGGGAAAAGAGGAGGATCACGATTTGGATGCTCCCAGAAGATGTTGCATCTGTGGTGGAGGGGAGGTCGTAGGAGCAGGTACCGGAGAGACACGGCTGAGGCATGCTCAGGCTAATCTCAGCGGCGAGTTTGGCGGTGAGCACATACCCTGCTCCAGTCATTTCGGCCATGCACGACGGCCACAATGGATAAGACCAGGATAATGGCCACCATATTGGAGGAATAGAAGTGTTAATTTACGGGTAAATGAGCCGACTAGGGCTATAAAAGAACGTATGGTTGGCCCAAAGGAGAGCTTGAACGGCGAACAAGCTCAGCTGAAGAAAGGAATAAGCGGAAAGAGAGAGAGAGGTGAGAATGGATTGGGAGGACTCGGAGGAGAGCCTTAGGATATGTATGGTCACCCTTGCGGATGCTGTGGCAGATTGAAGCCGCGCAATTTGAAAGCTGACAGCGTATTAATGCTCTGTCGCCGACTCTGTACAGCACATGTCAATTACAACTTGAACGTGGTGTGTGTAGGTGACGACTCACTTGAATACGGTTTCGGAGCTCGAGCGCTCCAGGTGAGCTATCAATAACTCGGTGTATTCGCGACCAGCAGATGCGAAGTGGCAGATGTGTCGAAGCTTGACAGATTGCGCGTGGTCTTGTGCGGTGAATGTCATGCTTAGAGGACCATGAAAAACGAAGGCAAGAATGACGGTGATAGCCGTAAGCGCGTGATGCGCGTGACTGATCGGGCTTCGCTCTCCGCAGCCGACTCCCACACGCCTCACCTTGGCTGCCCATGTCGCGCTCGCCAGCCCCGCTGTATAGTGCGTTATCCTTCGAATGCCTCTGAAGCGGGGCTCATTTACCCACTAGATGCTGTCTGCGGGCTGTCATTGACGCACATGGCCTCCAGCCTGGCCACCATCCTTGTCTACGACATCGAAGATGCCCGTCCGTGTCTTCCCCTCCTCCTGCCCACAGACTTCAGCTGAGCGCGTGGACTATCACAGGAGACTCGCAAGTCATCGCAATTATGTACTCCATGGTGACCTTCTACATGGTATACACCTTGTGTGTCACCGATGCTGCCTTGTCCATCTTTCGCGCTTACCAAGCTCCAGAATCCCGCAGACGACAAGCAAGGACAATGATCCCGTTTCGCGACTCAACAAGCAGTTCGTCATCGCCAACTTCCTCCTGCTCTGTTGGCTGCTGTGCGGTGCGCGACCATATCTTGTCCCATGTCTTAGATAGACTAACTCCTCTCCAGTCGGGCTTGTCCCTCTCACCGTAGGCCCAGGAATTGCTCCCCTCATATCCTCCTGTGCCGTCCGAATGTTTTTCTCTCCCGCCTGCATCACTTTGGGACTGGACATGGTCATCCCTTTTGCGTTGATTGCCACCTGTGCGTCACTTCCGTTTACCTCCTTGTTCCACACTCATTCCGGCATGAAGTCTCCTGCCTCTCCTGGCGTTTCTACCACAATGCCGACCATATTCAATCCCTCCCTCCTCTTGCCCCCCCACCAGCACCATCTTCGCCAGCCCCCCCTGCTCCATACACCGATGCGCCCCCTTCCCTGCTGGCATTAGAGCCACAACCTCGACACTCACATCGTGGTATTAGACCACTAATTTCGTTCACGGACGTTTGAAAAAATCTACTGCTTTGTATCTTGCTACTTTGTTCTAGAATACATCTGTCGGAAAAACTTCTTATGGCCTTAGCTCAAGCGGCGATCATATGCAACTCTCCTCCAAATCGTTCTAGCGCACATACGAAGAATGAAATCATGAGTTCATCTAACGACGTCCGAGCTTAAACCGCCAATCGTCACCAGCACGGGCACAAGCTCAATATTGACCTTCGTCCCGATGGCACGGTCCGGGCATCGAGTATAAAATCCCTATTTCGGCTAACGCTCAGGCAAGATTACCAATGTTGACATGTTCCTTGCAGGCATTTTTCTCCACCTCCTTAGTCTCATAGCACAACTGTGCGATGCGAACCCAGTGGAGCTTGGGTCGCGCCAGTCAACATCAATGGTAATGACAGCAAGGGTACCGCAGATCATCAGCATCGGGTCACACATGTCACATAGGGTACGGTGGGTCAATGGGGTGAAATTTCACTTTTTGGACTTGTGTCTGGGGAAGCTCCAGGGACATCCAGGAGGACCAGAAAGGCACAGTTCTATGTTTATAGCACTTATTGCTAATGAATACAGCATGTTTGATGGCCTATGCCCCAATTGGGAGAGTTTAGTGATGAGTACAATGATATGGAAGCATGGCATTGCATCTATATGATAGGTCTCAAATTGCCCTTATAAAGAATCCAATAGGCCAGTACTGTGTGCCTGTATACACACTGATGACAAATGATTTCCTTTTTGGGAAGTCACATAGCTTAGTCATGCTTATGTGAATGGGTAGGGAGGGCCAACTGGTGCTTAATTCACTTTTTTTTGACCTAATGTCTAGGATTTTTTTTTACGTGGTACCCTTGAACAATAGTCGACCTCAGCATTCACAGAGGGGTATTATCTCATTGGGTGTGTTTTTATCTTGTAACTTGACAACTTCTGATGTGTCCCTAACACCAAGAACCAGATTCCTTCCTCATTTTACACTGGTACTTTTGGGCTATTAGATATCTAACCCGTCCCAAACAAATAACACCTATAGGCATGGGATTTAACTACTGTAGCATTCTGTAGGGGTGAAACACCTCGAGCAGTGTTACACTTATGTAATCAACTGAAACAGGAAACACTAGCTGAGTTATGTGTACACAGAAAGAAATACTGAAACAGTGGCACTCAAAAGTACCAGCTAAGGTTCTGATATTCTGAAATATTTGGTCCATAAACATATATATATCAGTGGTATTTCTACTTAACAACAGGCAAACATGCAAAGGTTGACGGTATTTTCAGGCAATACAAAGTCACAGGTGGAAATTTAGCACAATTTTGAGAATCCTACCTAAAGAATACTATTATTGGTTCATTTTGGACCTGACACAGTTGGTCCGTTATGTGTTACTTGTTTCAGAATATAGAAACAAAACAGTGGGGGAGTTATGTGTTATGTAACTATGTTTCAACCCTACAGAATCCTACAGTACCTGATCACTGGCGGAGCACAGTTTGTCAATGCGTCAGGATGGATCTTCGGCGGTCACACAGTGATTTTGAGTTTCTGCAACCTTGGATATGCTTATCACAATCATGCAGGCCCGCTTCCAAAACGTCCTATCCAACTACCAGACCGCCCGGCAATACAACATATGATTTGTACTCAAGATGAGCGATAACTAGGGTACCAATGCAACTCAGGGAAGCAATGTAGTCTATCCTGGTGCAAATGGAGACTTTACACGTGAGTATGAAGAATAATCACTCTTGTCACCCCAAGTATTTCAAAGACAACTGGAGCATTTTAAAGAAAATTTAATCACACTGGGGTTTCTGCCCAAAAATGGACCCCAAAGTAGGATTTATTTATGATAAATAGTGAACAAAAAGATGTATGCTTTAATGACTTGGATAGATAACAAATAAAACTTCAGGAAAGTAGACTTGATTTGTAAGAAATTAGGGCATATATTAAGTTATCAGATTGGACTTGACTCATGGTCAATATCAGGTGACAATTTAGTAGCTACAATTTGTAACAAATAAATGCATCAAAAATGTCCTAAGATATAAGATCATATATATCAAAAATCAGGGACAGCACCAGAGTGTACCTGATATATATATAACAAATTAGGGCAATAATAATATGATACGAGTTTTTGACAAATATTTGGGTTCAAATGAGATACACTTATTGTCTACAAAACATGGTCAGGGAGGGGTAGTCACAATATATGCTATATTTTATACCCCAATACAGAACTTGATTTCTTGTAAATCAGATACAATTTTTGCAACTTTTATTGCATATTAATCAAAACAGCAAAAAAGGCTATTGTTTTGGACCACTATTGCTCATATCTAAATTCTGCTTAGGGGACCATTTTTTGGCTGAAACCGCAGTATGAATGGAGGTAATGACAGGTCAAAAAAGGCCATCTTTAATTGATTGAAAAAAAGAGCTGAAAAAGGTCAAGTGGATGGAAATTGAATCTATGTGTTAAGGGAACCCCCCCTTTCGGCCCCTCGGAGATGCATCCGATTCTGGTCTGATTCTGATGTCGTCTCCAGTCCGGCCCTCCATCTCGCCTGCACAATCACCAATCCATCAATGTCCTCCTACCAGTTGCCCTGGGACCTTGCCTGCGATGCCGCCCAAGCCGTCTGTGCCCAACAGCAGCAGCTACGGACAAGCAGTATATAGTCAGCTACCTAGCAGGCAGACCCTTAGAGTTTCTTCTCTTTGGATCCTCCCCTGCTAGGACCTTGATCTCAGGCCTCGGGGGTTGCCCTTACAGAAGAAGAAACTCTCTACAGGATCAACCGGACAAGATTGCCAGGTTTGGTGCCTCAGGCTCGGAGTACGAGTCTGTCCTCCCCTTGTCACTGCCCCTGCCACTTGTCCCCTCCTTCTCTGTTACTCCTGTCATCCCCGCACTTGTCATGCCTTCCGAAGCTACTTTGGATGCTGGTGCGTTGCGTAGGGCCCCGCAGGGGTGAAGGGAAGGGGTTAGAAGAATTGGGAAGCGTTGAGGAGTGTGGGCATACGGGCCCGCACGGGCCCAATTGGCCCCGTGGCCCGGCGGCCCGACCCGAACTGTGACATCTTGCCTCCCAGGCTTCCACTACTACTGATACAGCTGGCGCACCCCAAACACTATTGCCGGGATTCCGACTTCGACTCCGGTCCAGGGCGATTCCGAGACATTAACCTTGCCTCAAAATTGGTCTTGCAACCAAACCCCCTGTTCTGTCAAACCCTGGGTTTAAAAACCTTTTTTCTTCGCCCTTTAAACCTTTTATTCTGGCCCTGGTTGATAAGATAAGACAAGGAGGAGATAAGATGGACGATAAGATGATGATTGGATCATCAGATGTCGATGCTGATGTTGATTGACAGCGTGGAGTTGGACATGAGGCAAACAGCACGTAAAGGCATGGCTAAAGTATGACGTCATTGCCTCTCGTATTAGGCATGGTAAACACATGGTAGTAGTGTATATAAGTAGAGTAGATTTTGTCTTGTACCCCAGTCTTCGAATTCCATCATCTTTACGATATCCTTTCACGATGCTTCTTGCTTGCCTTTACTGGCCAACTGGCATCCTCTGAATTGGTGTTGTTTGTGACATGTTCACCTTCAACAGCAATTGGAAATGCGGCTGCACGTTCCTCTACGCGGTCTGCACCCAGCACACTTATGCCCCCACCTTGCACCCAAGCAGCTGGAACCCCTAGTGCAATGTGCAACATCTGGGCTATAGCCCAAACGGGCAATGCACAACATATGGGATATAACCCAGTTTTCTCTGTTGCAAGTATTTCTTTATTTGACTTTTATTCTTTTGACTATTTTAGTGTCTTATGTCAGGTGAATGGTGATGGGATCAGTGGTCCTAATGTAATATATTGATTGTGGAACCATTTTCCTAAGAGATCACTGATTTTGATGCCTGTGTGATCTTACATCACTCCCACTTGATTTAATATTGATTCTCTTTGAATGAATAATTTGAACTTTTCAACACTTCCTAGACCCTTTTTTCGCCTAAGTCAACCATATTTGACACTAGTGGCAGCTAAATAGTTGTGGCAGCACTGGCTAATCACTAACTATACAACTGATGAGCCTCTGTCCCCATAACTACCTAAGATAATGCATGATTGAAGTACCATTAGGAAGGTTGTCAAGGGGTACCATTGATTGACCATAGTAGTTGATTAACATTATGTGATATAGTTATCATATTGCCTATTTAATATAAACAGGAATATCTGGTACTCAAATAATGTAATATAACTAACTTGTAACTTAACATACTCCAGGCTAGTTCTGTCACAAACAGAGCTTGATCAAATGATGGGTCAACTGAATGAGTGATCAAGTGATGGCTCCGTAGAACAAAGTAAAGGGAGGATTCGTAAGATGGTAGGAGTTTGTTACGAGTGTGACAGACTCCCAAACAGGTAGGTGTGTTTGGTGTAATCAATGAGAATAAAAGGACTAGGGTACAGGAGATCTAGCAGGCTACTTATATACCGTCTGCACCTGTGACGTCACATACTAGTGCAACAGGTGTCAAACTAAACTAGACTGTAAGTAGCTGTTTCACCATGGCACTTGTCACACTACTGTCAGAGTAAGGCTATGCAACAGGACATAGACATTTGACAGGAACAGTGACAAGCGGGGATGTCATCAGGGCGATGATCGGATCAAAAAGGATAGGTATGTGGTAGGAATCAACAGGGTGTGATATTACCCCCCCTCTAGGTTCGATGTCCTCATCGACTAGATTAGGGAACAGCTCATATAGCTCCATCTATGCGAAAGATGATGGCCACTGCCTACCAGGCTAATGCAAAAGATGAGGGCAAGGGCCTATGATATATTATTCAAAGAAGTATTATTGTGTTTTTAGCACCTGGGAGATGATATCATTGATGGGATTGATGGCAATAAGGTATTTTGACTAATGTGGAACGATTTTTGATTGCCATCACTGCTTTTG